TATTATTGTATTAATTAGATCAAAATTCATTTTGAGTAGTCTGTTAGCTAGAAAGCTGCATTTTTAAGAACCTTACAGAAAATCCACCAAGAGCAATAAAAGAGCAAGCAGTAAAATTATCCAGTAGCTAATCACAACGTCTTAATGGAATGATTAATTTGAACACTGATGTCAACATTGTGAAGTCAAAACTAATTAATTAAAATTAATTATTTAAATAATCAAATAAATGGATTTATTTTACTGATTTATTTGAATATCCTTCCTGCCCTTTAAAGTTCCCAGAATGGCTTGCAATGTATGGCAATTACAATAAAGCAGATTAAAGCGAAAACATCAATATTAAGAGAAGTACAAATCATCCAACAGTTTTAAACAAAACATAAACAGAGAATTTGAGAGCCCATGAAAAGGTCTCTGCCTGATAATGAAGTGATATCAAATCAGGCTCTCTGGGAAAATTTCACCCATCACCATCTCTGATTAGCAATCAACCTTATCTGGAAAAATGCCCTGGCTGTTTCTAAATATGGCATTTAAATTATGTAAATAATCTTCAGGATGCTCAGCCTTCCATCATACCTTAACATCACATCAACTTATTCAATTTGAAATACTACTTATGTTGACTGCGACTGTGTCTAAACACAAACTTAAGGAGTTAAAAAATTTCAATCTCCACATCTATAAGAAATCCTAAGGAAGCACAGAACTGTGTGGGTGAGACTGTGCTTAGTAAAATATTTTCCCATGAACTAAATCACCCTGATTCTGTTTAGCTGTGCCATTATGCTGCCACTTAGTGGTGCAAAATTTCTTCTGCATCAAATAGCCAATCTACTTTTATTACAAAATGATTCAACCTATGGAACAGAGGCAGAGTTGTGGCCACTGCTCCAAAGCACCACTTTTGCCCATCTCTGTTTTTAGGTGCAGACTCTCTACAACAGGGGTCTCCAACCTTGGCTGGTGAATTCTGGAAGTTGAAGTCCTCCAGGCTTAAATTTGCCAAGGTTGGAAACCCCTGCTCTACAAGTGCTACAGCCTTGTAAATGAATTGACTATGGGTGTGCTACCAGCCTTCAAAAGCACATTAGTTGCTACAGTGGGCAAGAATGAGTGAACTCTTCCAGCAGCACTTGGGGTACACTTCTATGCTGGAAACAAAGGAGAGGAATTTCCACTAGCAATTTTCTTGACTTGAACCAGGCAAAAGGGCAAATGGAGTAATTTATCTCTCTTGCAGCAGCCTGTTCACTCTCTCCTGTATGCAATTCCTTGTCTCCCGAGGCCATTGGGAAAATGCTTAAATATACTTTTGGTTTACCTGCCTGCAACACCAAAGAGGCCCTATAAAAATTTATGAACTAAATATTTTCCCCATTTCCCCGTAATATTAAAGTAAGCAACTACAGTGATCTACCTAATTAAACATATCCTGAGTTCAGGCAGGGTTATCAAAACTGGATTGCAAGCATCTGGATGACAACTTAATGGCAGGAAACAGAGTTTTCCACATGTCTTTGCTGTCATCTCCTGATCATCTAGATTTTTGCATCCTAGGTTAGCTGTATGTAACATCTTCAGCCTAGGACTAGGTCTATTAGCCCAAGTTCAGGAGAAATAAAGTATTTGTTTAAAAAATTACACAGATTCATTAAGGGCACATCTACCAGTAGTGATCAGTTAGCTAAAGGTGAGTAGTATATGTCCATGCAATATATCTGAGAAGTTTCAAAAAATAACAAGGAATAAAGAGCAACCAAGATGATTAGGGGACTGGAGGCTAAAACATACGATGAATAGTATGGCTAGGCTAGTGAAGAGAAGAACCAGGGGAGACATGATAGCAGTGTTCCAGTATTTGAGGGGCTGCCACAGAGAGGATGGGGTCAAGCTATCCAAGACACCCGAAGGCCAAACAAGGAATAATGGATGGAAGCTGATCAAGGAGCTGATTCAACCTACCATGTTTTCCCGAAAATAAGACCCTGTCTTATATTTTTTTGAACCCTGAAATAAGCGCTTGGCCTTATTGCCATGCACCCAAAAGCCCGATTGGGCTTATTATCAGGGGATGTCTTATTTTTGGGGAAACAGGGTAGAAGTAAGGAGAAACAATCAGTCAATGGAACAGCTTGCCTTCAGAAGTTGTGGGAGCTTCAGAAGCTTTCAAGAGACTGGACTGCCATTTGTCAGAAATGGTGTAGGGTCTCCTGCTTGAGCGGGGGGTACAAGGTCCCTTCCAACTCTATTAATCTGTATCTAAAGAACAAGAAATTACCAGGTTTCATGTTAACTATTCAGAATTTATCTCTTTTATCGTACAGAATTAGAGAGCAAAGTAAATCAACATCAATTATCATAAATATTGTCCAAATAATTGTTGAATGCAACGATATTTATGTGCACTCCAGCTAAAATATTGTATTCAACCCTGCCACTATCAGTCTACTTTTGAAAGTCCCTGACGACTGGGAGGCTATAGAACCCTGATCCTATCTGACATATAGCTGTCAAAATTTGAAAACTATCTGATTGCTAATATACAGCAGCAGTCAATTATTTAACATTATGTGACATGTAGCAGCCAGCATTTATTTATTTATCAAACTGTTTCCCAACCTGTAGCTATTGGTTAGGCTGGTTGAAGATTTTGGTCCTTGCTTAAAAGAATAAGCAATAAACTGGTGCAGAAATCTGCTGTCGGTGATAGCAGATGATATACCCTGGAACTAGTGATGATGTAATATATGACATCCTCCTTTGTGTGCCTGTTGGCTTATCCATGATTTAGCTCAATGTGGGGTCCTTCATGTTCTCTGAGCTTGGATGTTTTCTTGCAGATGTTCCATTACCAAACTAGGTGTGATTAATGTACCGATATTACCTAGTTTGGTAATGAAACGTCTGCAAGAAAACAATCAAGCTTAGAGAGCACCAAGGACCCCATAGTTGAACCCTGAGCTACAAATATTCCCCTCTATTGGTAAGTTCAGGGGTGAAATACTCCCAGTTCGGACTGGATCGCCCAATGGATCGTCCGGTAGGGATGGAGGCGGGTGGTTCGGAGAACCGGTAGCAAAAATCCCTGCCCCCCCCCCAATGCCCAGCTGAGCTGCACAATCATCAGAGGCTTTTTTTTTTAGTTTTAAAAGCATTTTTTCTACAACCTCTTCGGCCAAAAAATGCTTTTAAAAGTAAAAAAAAAAGCCTCTGATCGCGCGGTTCAGCAGGGATCGTCAAAGGCTTTTAAAAGAAAAAAACCCTTTTTTTCTTTTAAATGCCTCTGACGATCCAAGCTGAGTTGCCTGATCAGCAGAGGTTTTTTTAAAAAGCCTCTGCTGATCGGGCAACTCAGCTGGGATGGTCAGAGCCTTTTGAAAGCATTTTTTTACAACCTCTTCGCCAAAGAGGTTGTAGAAAAAATGGTTTTAAAAGTTAAAAAAAAAAATAGCCATGCCCACCCAGTCACATTACTCCCCCCTCCCACCAAACCATGCCCGCAGAACCGGTAACAAATTTTAGATTTCACCATTGGCTCAGTTCTCACATTTCTTTAAGGGCTCACACCATTGTAGGGAGGATTTGGGTCAGGTCATATTAATCTGAGATGGAGGCAAAGGAGGACATCCTTTTATAGAAAGTTTTAATAATTTAAAATCAAGGAAGTAATGCATGGCTTCATCTACAGGTGGACCTTGACTTACAACCGTTCATTTAGTGACTGATCAAAGTTACAACGGCACTGAAAAATGTGACTTGACCGCTTTTCACAGTTATGACCTTTGCAGCATCCTCATGGTCATGTGATCAAAATTCAGACATTTGGCAACTGGTTCACATTTGTGATGGTTGCAGTGTCTCAAGGTCACATGATCTCCTTTTGTGACCTTCTGGCAAAGCCAGGTTGCTAACTTAACAACTGCAGTGATTCACTTAACAACTGTGGCAAGAAAGGTTGTTAAAATGGGCAAAAACTCGCTTAACCAATGTCTCACTTAACAACAGAAATTGTGGACTCATTTGTGGTCGTAGGTCGAGGACTACCTGTACAATACTAAGTGTCTTGGCAGAATCGTGTTCGTTGTACAAGCAATACCAGCTTGGGACCAATGGTGGGTTGACCCTGGTTCGGACTGGTTCGCAAGAACCAGTTGTAAAACTGGTGGGAGGCCCCGCCCACCGCGCTGGATGTTGTCATCGTCTATCTGCACATGCGCGATCCCGCAATCAGTAAAGGTAAGTAGAACCCACCCCTGCTTGGGTCCCTTTATAACACCAAGGCATAAAAGATGATCTAAAACAGGGGTCTCGAACCTTGGCCACTTTAAGCCTGGAGGACTTTAAGCCTGGAGGACTTCAACTCCCAGAATTCCCCAGCCAGCTTTGCTGGGAGTTCAATTCTGGGAGTTGAAGTCCTCCAGGCTTAAAGTTACCAAGGTTGGAGACCCCTGATCTATAAACCTCACACTGAGCATTCCGTCCCAGACCCCGATCCAGCCACATGAAAGCTTCACACGAAGTATAAGCCTGACGGACGGAAGTCCCCGAAATCCGCCTGCTTCAAATCCTCTTCAAACCCAGGGGATTCCAGACGGCGGTGTCTAGGAGAAAATTCCTGCGTAAGCGAGCGAGAGACCGCGCGTGTACCTGCACCTGCCAACCTTTCCCTCCAAACTGGAGGGAAATCTACACAAATCTACACTGGGGGAAATTTCGACTTCAATGCAAGCCAAGTCCGGGGGGGGGGGAGAGGCAGTTCTTCTCACCCCCTCGTCTCCTTCAAGCCCAATGCGGGTCTGCTCTCCACAACGCCGGGGAAGGGGAACCCAGGAACGAGCTGCCACCTCACAGACAGACATAGAGCGAGACTGCTGGATGGAGTCTTCCCTCCCCCCGCGCCCTCTTTCAAAAGGCGGGGCCCCAACTTGAATTGACAACCGAGATACCCAATCACAGGTTGCGCTCTTTTTCTTGCGGCTGGTTTTTGCTGCTGCCGCTGCCGCCGCCCGACCTGAATTGAAAAGCAAGAGAGGCCTCGCCTCCTCTCCGGCCGCTCCGCCTTTCCGCCCCCGTCTACCCCAACCTGGCCAGTAGCCTTGCTTTTGAGCCGTCTCCTTTTAAGACCCGAGCTTCTAACCTTATATCCCGCGCCGGAAGCGGAGCGGCGCCTTCATTTCAGCTTTTCAGTGTGAAAAGGTGTGTTTCCACCCGCGCTCTTGCAGGGGGCGGCTGGAGTTCTAGAGTGCGCGGCGCCGGGCTATGGAGAAAGCTCCGCGGCTGGCCTGGCGGGGCTCAGCGCCGGTGAGTGGGGTGTAAAAATCAAAGGGTTTCGCTTGGAGAAAGCGGGAATGGGGGGGGGGGTTGTCCTTTCCCAGACACTGACGATTCATTTTGCATCATCACCATCATCCACTCCCTTCCGTTTGTTTTCTGGGGGAACCGGTTCCTCCGTCTTGTTAATTTTAAGGCGCTTCCAAATCCGTCTCGTTTATTAAACGGGCGGGGTGATAGGAGAAAAGAGATCGTCCGGCCCACGCGTGGGGTTTGTTTTGAGACAATTGTAGGATGGCCGGCTCCTTTCTTTGGTAGCCAAGGCTGTCTTTCTTCTCTCTCTCTCTCTCCCTCCCTCTTCTGCGTGGGGATTTCTGCTTGTTTTTTGTTTTGCTGAACGCTCCTCCTCCGCCTTTTATTCGAAAGCTCCAGGCGGCATCCCCGTTTCCTTGATGAATGTAACTCTTGATATAAGAGTTCCTTTGGGGTTGGGGTAATTTGTGGGAAGGGTTGAAAAATGTTATAAAAACGGATGGTTTGTACATGTGTTGCCCCTATAAATTCGTAGAATGTTTGGCTGGCATGTCGATGAATGGGACCAGTCACGAAAGAGCTCCATGGGATTTGAAGTCCAGAATATGGTAGACGATGGCAGATTGAGGAAGAAGCTATTTTAAAAAAAATTAAAATCCTCTAGAAAATCTCCTTAGGGCGATGAAGCCTTATCACAGATGAGGATTCTAAAGGATGGGAAAAAAAATCTATAATATTTATCACTTGGCTGTGTGATCTAGAGATCTGTAGAGCTCTATAGAGCTCTGGATCAGAAGGCAATTCATAGAAGAACTCTCTTTCTTAGCAGTGTTGGCAGGATGCTTCTATATGGGAAATTCAGAACCAGACAGATCTGGTTCTTTTAACAAGCATTGCAAACTTAGATCAGCCCCCATGCCATTTCTAGCATGTTCAGATTTTTAATCTTTCTGAGAGTGGAAATGGGACCTTTAAAGCGCTCCATGGCACAGGACCCGGATACCTTCGAGACCGTCTTCTGCCACCAATAGCCTCCCACCGACCAGTCCGTTCCCACAGAGAGGGTCTCCTCAGGGTGCCATCAGCCAAGTTATGTCGGCTGGCGACACCCAGGGGGAGGGCCTTCTCTGTGGGAGCCCCAACCCTGTGGAATGAACTGCCCCCGGAAATACGTAAGATCTCCGACCTCCGGGTGTTCCGCTGCGCACTGAAGACCCTGTTGTTCCGCCAGGCAGGGCTGTCAATATAATAATTTTAAATTGGGGTATTTTAATTTTTGGGGTTTTAAATCGGCCAAATCTATTTAATTATTTTAATTTTTAATTATTGTTGTGTCTTGTGTTTTTAAATTGGCTGTACACCGCCCTGAGTCCTTCGGGAGAAGGGCGGTATAGAAATAAAATTATTATTATTATTATTATTATTATTATTATTATTATTATTATTATTATTATTATTATTATTACAAAATTTTCTGGATGCCGCTAAGATCTTGCCTCCCCCTCCCGTTTTCTGATTGTCGCCAACATCTACAGAAGGTTCTGTTAACCTGAAAAATACGTTTTCTGGGCGGGGATTACACAATATGAATATAGTAACTATGATTTTTTGGGGGAAATGTGGCATAAAACTCAAGGTTCTTTGCTTGACTCCATGTTCAACAGTCTTCATTCTTCTTTTAGTTTTCCCTGACAGAGAAGTCATTGTCATTCCTTCCGGTCTGTCCTTGTCACACCGTTACATTCTGCAAACTTTCAAGTGTACTGCCCAGAATAAATTATGTTAATGAAATATTTGTGCAAACTTGGGGTTTAAAAAAAAACAGCAAAACATAGTGACATTCTCTCAGACATTTGAACCTAAATATGACCAGCTCTTCCTTTCATTTTATTTCTTTACTTTGTCCTGCCAGGTTTAACTTGAAGAATTCAACTAGAGAAGAGCAGATGGTGAGAGTTACCTCATGTTATCTACTGCTGTCCCTTTTGCCCTGCTGTGATGGATGAATGGAAGCCTAACGCACAACCCAAGCCGTGGAAGAAACGCAGCTGGTACCTGGCCTGGAAGTACAAGTTGACAAATCAGAGGGCACTCAGAAGAGTGTGTCAGGTGAGAAGAAGCCCTACTCATCGCCCTTCTGTTTAGATACTTTGGTAATGGGGAACATTATATCTGATAAGACGATTAGCAAAGATCTTGGCTTTGTATACTTATGGATTATAGTCTTTAAGGAACAGTAATCTTTGAAATGGAATCACGTGGAGATGATATCCTTTATATAGCCTCAAGAGCATATTTACACAAATGGACACACTACTTTGGAAAGACAGGATGGTGTAGGATTTTGCAAGCTAGCAGATCTATTATAATTCAAGCTGTTCTTCAGGCAAGAGTACAGGCTATGAAAGCTCAAGTTTCAGTAAGAATTACTCAGCATGGAACATTAAAACATTTGTATCTTTTTAATGTATCAGACAAGGTCATATAATCTGAACATGTTTCTTTTGGACATTTGCCTACTTTTTTTCTGTTTAGTTTATTTTTCTGCCTAAAGAAAAATTGCATGCACTTTCCATTAAATATTTAAAAAAATATGTAATGAAGGGTTTTTAAACGATTTCCAGACTGATACATCTGATAATTACAATTCATAAATTGTATCCTTTTTTTGATAGTATGGACTGCATGTTTTAAAAAGGAAGGAGTGGGTCAGACCTTACATAGGAACAGAAATCTATACAAGATGACTGGGCAGAGTACAATAAAAATCAAGAATTAGAACATATAATAAAACCACTCAAAATACTTATATAATTAAACGCAAGAAGAAGATCACAAGAAGGTTAGAATCAGAATGTTCTGCATGGTTCAGTTTACACATGGGCTCCCTGGTACCAGGAAATTCCCAGCCTGATGAAAAAACAACAACCATGTTTTGAGGCCTTTCCAGAAGACCAAAAGGATTAGGGCCAACCTCACTTCAGGAGAAATGCAGGTCCTTTTGTAACATATTAATTTGTATCCCACTTGCTACAAATCCTGTTTTAGTAATGATGATTTCTAAATGCTCTGGACTGTAAATTCTCCACCAGCATTTTCAGAATAGTAGTCCTATATCAGGGACGATGGGCTAGTATTTTAAATCCAGAATAAGTAAGGTTGCCTTAAGAGGATATCTGTGCTTCACAGAAGCTTCCTAGCAGCAGCTAAGCTGAACATTTTTGTAGATTCATTGAAACTCACTGATACTACAATGTATCCAGTCTCTATTGTCTGTTTGAACATAGAGTTTTCTTTGCCTTCACTTTCACATGCTATTTATCTGTGTATATTGATAGATCTAAAACTCATGTGCATTGCTTTTCTGGTTTTAACCAAACAGTTGAATGGGTCTGTTACAGATTGTAATGCAAACATTGTATTGTAGTATGTGTAATCAAGCCAATTATGCCTTATTCAGAAATGATGATTAAGGTTGTGCTGCATATGCCAGGTTATCCTGGCTAGGTGGCTCAGTGGCTAAGATACTGAGCTTGTCGATCAGAAAGTTCAGCGGTTCGAATCCCTAGTATAGGTCTTCTGCGTGAGCAGGGGATTGGATTAGATGACCTCCAAGGTCCCTTCCAACTCTGTTAATTATATGAAAGGAGATTGGAAGCCAGGCATAACCTAAGGTGTTTTTTGTTCTTTTCCTTTTTGCAAAGCAACCTGGTACCCAGGTACTTTTGCTGGCAAGGAATAGGATGAGCAAAAGTTCCTGCTGAGGACCCTATTAATGCTTGCAGAAAGTTCCATGCCATTGGATATGGACGATAATTAGTTCATTTAAGCAGATTCATATAATGGAGTAACAGAGTTGGAAGGGACCTTGGAATTCTTCTAGTCCTGGGGTCCCCAACCCCTGGTCCATGGTCTGACACCGGTCCGTGGCCAGTGGTCTGCGCAAACAAGCAAACCTCATCCATGGGATGCAGGCAGTATCAGTGGTGGGTTCCTCCCGGTTCTGTTCTGTCCCCCTTCCTCACACAGGCAAACGTAATACCAAGCACGCCTGCCAATATTTTATTAGGTAAACAGATTAGAATTCTTGGCAGACCAAGGTTTTGGCAGCAAACTGCCGAATGCCTGCCAAGACCGTTTTCACTCCCATAAAGCAGAAGAGGACTTATCTTCAGTCCGTTCGAGGAGCAACAAATTATCCATGAGACAAGAGTTTAGTCAATGTTCAGTACAAAATATATCCAAGCCGAATTTCAGAGATCACGATGTGACTCTTTTTTTCTTTTATTTGATTTATATGCCGCCCTTCTCCGGAGACTCATGGCGGCTTACAATGTGTTAAGCAATAGCCTTCATACTTTTGTATATTTATACAAAGTCAGCTTATTGCCCCCACAAACTGGGTCCTCAATTTACCTACCTTAGAAAGGATGGAAGGCTGAGTCAACCTTGAGCCTGGTGAGATTCGAACTTACAGTAATTGCAGACAGCTGGTGTTAATCACAATGCTATCAGTCTGTTGAGCCACCAGGGTTTAACTTTGTCCATCACAAAGCCTGAAGAGCAATCCCACCCACTTTTATTCCTGGTCGGGCGTGGCTCCGTGACTCAGCTCAATCTCTGGTCCTCCCACGCCTCTTCCGTTGCTGCGCACGCTTCTCCCTCCGACGCTGCCTGGGATCAAGCCAGGATTCATCATCCTCGCTCCCTATCAATTGGTGCTCCGATATGCCTTTCTCCTGGCACATTCCAGGCTGTTCCTCCTGGCCTTCGGATGGAACCTGAGGCATTGCCAGAAAGGAGGGTCCTGGAGAGGGAGGCCTTGTCAGTTCCTCCCCATCGCCTTCTGAGTCCTCTTCCTCTGTTAGGACAGGCTCGGGAGTCAGGGTCACAACAGGTTCTCCTGAGCCAGTAGCTGTGATGATATGATGTCACCGAACCAGTTCTGCCCCCCCCCCGCCCCCCCACCCCCCCGGTGCCCCCCCACCCCACCCTCTGCATTATTCTTACCTTTTATTTGGCCTCACCCCCAATCTATTGCTGCCTCCTGAGTCCCAGCTGATGGCTAGAGGGAAAAAAACTGTTTAAACTCTTGCTGCGGGGCTTCAAAGGGCCGCCCTACAGCTGATCAGTGTTAAAAGAAAACAAATGAGTAGACCAGTGCCTGCAAAAATACATGAGTAGATCAGTGCCTGCAAAAATAAATAGGTAGACTGAGGCAGGGTGGAAAAATACCATAAAAATATTAACTGAATTAGCAGAAGTTATGTTGCTTATATGTTGCAAGCTTTAGGAAAGTACAAGGAACTTGCTAAATGCGATGATGTGATTAATGACCTATATTCTAGATAGTTACGGTAATGGAACATATTACAAGAAGTGTCCACCGAAAGTAACAGGTGGTGTAAGATAATACCAGTATATGGAAATATAGCAAGATAACCAATTATATACACGTCTCCTTTTTGTGTTTTGCTGTGTTAAAGCTAAAATAAGAGTAACACCTCAGGAAAGGCTGAGGTTGCAAAATGTATAAAAGACACACCTTGGGCATAGCCCGGAGTTCAGAATTTGACATGCTAATGCTCTGAACCTTTGCGCAAATAAACCTGTGTTCTCCAACCCTTCGTGGTCTTGTGTCCTGAATTGGTTAGAAGTTTGCTGCAACAAGACCAGTGCCTGCAAAAAATAAATGGATAGATCGGTACAGCTCTGCAAGCAGTTAAAAGCCTGGTAGACCAGTACCTCTGCTAAATCTTAAATAATTGTCACATGACCATCAAGCCACGCCCACAAAATAAGCCACACCCACAAAACCTGTAGTAAAAAAAATTTAGAACCTACCCCTGGGCAGTATGCAAATCCACACCCCCTTCCGGTCTGTGGAAAACCTTTCTCCATGGAACTGGTCCCTGGTGCCCAAAAGGTTGGGGGGGAGGGCACTGTTATGGTCCAATCCCCTCCTCAAGCAGGCGACCATATATCTTGATTATCTCATTTTTGTCAGGTTATATACAAGTACTTCAGAGTTGTAGTACTGGCTGCGGGAATAGCAGCAGTTCATAATTTAACCACTAAGAACAATTAAAGCCTTCATTAATTGATTTATCCAGTTGAAATCCTGGTGGTGGACCTGCATTGACATACAGTAAATCATTGGAGCTATTTCTGATACAAAATCCTATTACGGCTACTGTCTGGTTTGGGTTTGGTTTTTTTTTTAAAGTAATGTGCATAAACCATTGGTTATTTTAGTGAGCAGATTTATGAGGAAGGGCTATGATTTTTCAAGGAAAGGCTAAGGTTTTATAAAGTAAAAAAAATATTCCTTTCCTTCCTTCCTTCCCTCCTTCCGTCCAAAAATACATTCTAATGTGCATGTGATCCATATGTTGATACTTCGAGATAAATGCACACATGAAGTTGGCAAACTTCCAGCTCCGTGGTAGTTGTGATTGCCATGATCAAAAGCCACTGGACTAATAGACATTTTTTCTGTGATGCTAGGTAGGTTGCAGTAGTTCCAGATGAAACAAATGTATTCACCCGAGGACCCCAAAAATGATCTGAAATGAACTGGGGAAATCTGGTTTTCTCTTACACCTTCACCTATTATATAACCAAATCACTTTTTCCTTATGTAGACCACTCTGGGCCTTCAAAGTCCAAGTCATTAAACATTTGTAGGAGAACACAGGATAGAAAACAGCTTTCTGAAACACAGTTCGCAATTCTGTTTTGGATTTACCGCTGATGATTTGTGACTAATAATGGATTTCTTAGACATTTTATCTTCCTACAAAAAGGGGATAAATTTATCCTACTACATTCTAGAGACTGACAGTGCAGCTATCAGGAAGGTATGACAAATGTATTGCAATATCTTGTCTGGATCTCAGTGTCTTAAAATAGCAAATTTAATACAGAGCTGTCAGTGCTGTGGGAGATCCTGACACCTTAGCTACATGTAGACAGGACTCTTCAAGTTCAGGTTCCCATAGAAACCTATATACTCTTCATACCTTCATCACCAGAGGCTTAATCATTATAGTACCATACAACATGTTGTACAAATGTGACATATTCTGCACATAGCACTTTGTTACCATATAATGAGAGCAAGAGTGACATTCTTTTCCTGTTGAGATAAATTAAGTACAGGAGAAATTGGTTTCTTGTGGGGAGATTTTGTGTCCAGTAGGAAATTAAGAAAATTTGAACATATGTAAGCATATGAATTGTAGGATATATACTTAAATGATTTTAGAATATCTTGTTGGGGAAAATATTGTAATAGAATGAAGAAACAATTCATATTTTTTCAATGTAAGGCCCAAATGCTTTATTTCTCAGTTTTGAAGCCAATTTTATTTGTAAATTTTATTGATCTTGTATTTTTATATTTTTATTAACATCTTTGTCTTATTTTTAACCTTAAAATGGAAAGCATTCCCATGAAGATCTAATGCGTTTGGCTACCTTAATTCAAGTTTATACAAAAGCATTTTTTCATCAAAAATAAGCATAGTAAAAATAAAAGTTACTGTCCCCTTTGTCCATTTTTTAAAAAAATTCTTAAATCATTTGTTGGTTAAATTTTGTGCCAACATTTCCTGAATCTCTGAATCTTAGTCTCTTTTATTTTTGTAATATAGAAAAAAAAGTTACACTAACTTTGTGGGGGGGGAGTGTTGTTGCTGCAAAGGAAAACTCTACCTATAGATTAATTACATTCAAAAGCGGCTAAGAATTGAGCATGGCTGGATTTAATGTCCATATAGACTGCAGTGCAGTTGTGAGTGAAGATGGAATACCGCAACTCCTAGCTGCTCGACTCAGAAACTGATTTCAAAAACTTTTGTTCATGCAGTTCACTCCTGAGGAGCACTGTCTGGAGTACAGACGGGTTTATCTCACAATCGCTTTTTGATCTGAAGAGATTTCACTAGCAGATGTCTGCCGTCTGGTTGGATTCTCAACTTCAATGTTCTCGTTCCTTTAGAGATGTCCAGGCTGACTTTAATCCCCATCAGATATCACTATTTATTATTATTAATTCATTATTATTAATTCAATTTATATGCCACCCCTCTCCGAAGACTCAGGATGGCTTACAATGCATTTAAAAGAAAAACCATTATAAAAACATTTAAAAAATTAAAACATTAAAACTCATTCACATCATTCATGGCCAGATCTCGCGAGATCGCAACAGCGAGATCAATGGCCCCAGGCCTGCCGGAAAAGCCAGGTCTTCACCACTTTTCGGAAGGCCAATAGGGTGGGGGTGGTCCGGACCTCAGGAGGTAACTGGTTCCAGAGAGCTGGGACAGCCACAGAGAAGGCCCTCCCCCGTGGGCCCGCCAGCCGGCATTGTTTAGCTGACGGGACCCGGAGGAGACCAAGTCTGCGGGATCTTTCTGGTCGCTGGGAGCTATGTGGTAGAAGGCGGTCTCGAAGATAATATTTGAAATACGCCAGATGTCTCTAAATCTTTCTGATTTCCAGCTATAATATATTTTAGATGTAATGTGAATCCTGACCCACAGATAAATATTAATGATTAAATCCTAAGATTATTGATGTGGAATCCAAGGGTACAGACAGAAACACAGGGAAGTTAAAAAATATATGACATAGCATCCAATGAAAATCTGTTCAGTACAGCCACTTGGGGAAAACAAAAGCTTCTAATTGTCATAGTGATGGGACAAAATTTTGCTGCAATTATAGAGACTTTCTAATGCTGGTCATTTGGCAAGTAGTGCACAATTACTGTATAAGAGCCATCAGTGCTATAACATAAAATAAAAATTATGTTTGATGCTCAGACTCTGCCTTTATTTGTGTTTATGCTCTTCAGGAAGATACTTTTCTTCTAGACTTGTCAGTTTGTCATCCTGGCAACCACATGTTACATTCTCAAGATTTAAAGTCGGTCCACGAAAGCTAAGGACCGTTGCTCTACTTTTAGGGCTGTTGTCATGAAAGAGAACAAGCATGAGAATAGACTGAACAATAAAAGGCATTCTGATTTTATAGATAAAATTCAGTGAGCTTTAATTTGGGGTTTTCTCTGAGATAGAAAGTAGTATAAATGATACTCATTTTGTACAGACAGCACTCTTCTCTGAGACTGTGCCTTCATATTACACAGCCTTTTGTTTCATGGATAGTATATTGTGGATTCTCCCCTAAGAAAATCTTACTGCACTTTGCACCTATGCTGCGACTCCATATTCCTATCAAGTAGCTTGTTTTCACTACCCTAAAATCTGTTCATAGTTTGTCAGGGAAGGCAGCCTTTTTGAACCTGTTGTGGTATAAATTATAGAGTTCTTCAGACAGCAAAGACCATGTGGGATGGCAATACTGGGAGCTGTTCTATAAGCATTCAGATGCCAAGGTCTCAGGGTCATCTAAAAGCATGGTGGGGGAGGTCAGGTTTATATTTTAAGTGTTGTATTTTAAGGGTGATACTAAACACAGATGAATGTATGACATGACCTGCCATTGTCACAACTATTATTGTGACAGTCCACTTAGAGCCGTGTGTCAGTTATTTATTTCCATTAATAAATGACCGAAAACATTCCATATTTATGTCATGTGACGCTTAATCCAAAAATTTATTTCTATCACCAAAAGTCAACATTTGGTTTTAAGGAATAAACAACTGGCTACTTACTGTAGAAATCTGGATATAACGTGCAGGACACTGAATATTTTCCACTATTTCATCCTAGAATAGAATAGAATAGAATAGAATAGAATAGAATAGAATAGAATAGAATAGAATAGAATAGCATAGAATAGCATAGAATAGCATAGAATAGCATAGCATAGCATTCTTTATTGGCCAAGTGTGATTGGACACACAAGGAATTTGTCTTTGGTGCATATGCTCTCAGTGAATATAAAAAGACAAGATACATTTGTCAAGAATCATAAGGTGCAACACTTAATGATAGTCATAGGGTACAAATAAGCACTCAGGAAACAATATCAATATAAATCGTAAGGATACAAGCAACAAAGTTATAGTCATGCCGTCATAAGTGGGAGAAGATGGGTGATAGGAACGGTGAGAAGACGAATAGTAATAGTAATGCAGCCTTAGTGAATACTTTGACAGCTTGAGGGAATTATTTGTTTAGCAGAGTGATGGCGTTTGGGAAAAAGCTGTTCTTGTGTCTAGTTGTCTTGGTATGCAGTGCTCTATAGTGTCATTTTGAGGGAAGGAGTTGAAACAATTTATGTCCAGAATGCATCTGTAAATATTTTCACAGCCCTTTTTGACTCGTGTAGTATACAGGTCCTCAATGGAAGGCAGGTTGGTAGTAATTGTTTTTTCTGCAGTTCTAATTATCCTTTGAAGTCTGTGTCTGTCTGGTTTGGTTGCAGAGCCAAACCAGGCAGTTTTGGAGGTGCAGATGACAGACTCAATAATTCCTCTGTAGAACTGGATCAGCAGCTCCTTGGGCAGTTTGAGCTTCCTGAGTTGGCACAGAAAGAACATTCTTTGTTGTGCTTTTTGATGACGTTTTTGATGTTAGGTATCCATTTTTGGTCTTGCAATATGATAGAACCTAGAAATTTGAAGGTCTCTACTGTTGATACTGTGTTGTCTAGTATTGTAAGAGGTGGCAGTATGGGAGGGTTTCTCCTAAAGTCCACCACCAATAAAGGAAGTACATGATACACAAGGATAAAAAAGCCTGCCAATACACAAAATGAGACATTTTTTAAAAAGAAGAAAATAGGGGTAAGTGGAAGCAGGAACTAAATTTCATCCCAAAAGAACAATGGGAGAGTTCGACAAAGAAGTCCAAAAACTCTTGTCATTCACTTTTCCAGTGCTGTGTCCTTCCTGTTATGTCTAGCATAAAAATCTATGTTTTCATCATGTAGGCATTTTAAGCATCAGGTTTTCCAAATCTATTTTTTCCTAATCTAATAAAGGAGACTTTTGTCTTACAGATGGGGGCAGTCCTTTTCTTGCTGGTAACTGTTATTGTGAACATAAAGTTGATCTTGGACACTAGAAGAGCAGCTAGTGAAGAAGAAGAATCAGCTCAGGATTATGGTGAGCAGGAAATGTGATTAGATGGTGGTATTAGAATGTACTGTGTGATTTATAGTCACTTTCTGGGAGAAATGGAATGTTCTAGGAAATGTAGACTGTTCTGTGATTGGAGAATGGAATTTTCCACGCAACATTACTGACCAGTGAATCCCATCCCATATTCCTAGTTATAGCAGCATTGAACATGGTCTAAATTTTTGATAGTTTTGCTCACAAAATAGTTTTTGATAGTTTAGAAAGAGAAAGACACTATTTCTTCAGGAAATATATGTAACAATGGACTGGTGATACCTTCCAGATCTTAAACATTTTCAGGTAAAATTAAGCAAGTAGGCCATGGTTTATATTCTGACTTCTGTCAATTTTTTTGTCAAAGGGAAGAAGAACTGGAAGAACTGGATTTCTTGTATTTACAAATGAAAACTGACTAGTCTAAAACTAAAAGTAGTTTAACTAGGTAATCATTACAACTAGAATTTTAAAATCAAGTAATACTCAGTTGAAGTCTTTAATGCTGCAGGCTGTTAAAAGCTAAATGGAAGGAAAATGTTAGTTTGTTTTTTATATAGATAACATGATGTCCTTTGGGAGATAATTCTACATGCTTCCACATCAAATGTTCTATCTGTGCTTTCATGAATTAACCTCACCATACCTCGTGGTATAAAAGCTAGTCCTCGTTTGGCAATCACATTTGGGACTGGCAATTTGGTTTTTAAGCAAAGCAGTCACTAAGTGACATCCCAACTATGCTTACAATCTTATTTCAGCTTTCCTTTGTTTTATAAACCCGAGAAGGTCGTAAATGTGAGAAATGGTCACAAAGTTATTTTTTCATTACTGTCATAACAGTGAATGGTCACTGTCGGAGGTAGTTGCTAACTGAGGGCCATCTGCATACAGAAGGCCTTTCAGAATGATCATAATTTATGGAGAGATTACTACAGGATAAAAGCATTAAACGTATGTCCATAAGAATCTGAAATATGGTGCTGTCTCATTTCCTAGATGAAAGTTTGCAGAAGCTAGAGATCCCTCGGCGGCCTATCAATAGCAGAAAAGTTCTGGACATTGAGGTCTATTCCAGTCGATCCAAGGTTTATGTTGCAGTTGATGGGACCACGGTGAGAATCTGCACTGCAGCTGTAAATGCAAGAATCATGACAGTAATAAATTCTCACATGGTTTACTATGAAGGAGAGCACAGTGCTTCTTGAATTGGACAGTCTCTTCCTGCATTATTTGACCGTGTGTGTGTGTGTATTCTGGCTTTCAGTTTTATTGTGTCCTATTAGGCCAGCAAGTATATTTAGTAATTTTAAAATATGAATATACGATACTCATTTTGTGTCTCTCTGAATGGCCTTTTATTTTTTAATAAAATTTCTAAGTGGATGTATTCATGGTGAAGGAACAAAACAATTATTTTTTTTAAAGAGCAGTCTGCTCATTAATAGAAATTGAACACATTTTCTATTTACAATTTACAAGAATAGTGCTTTTGCAAGTAATACGGGAAAGGTATAGTGTATTTTCCTTATGTGTCTGCATACCCACTTATATACATATGCATATCATGAAACAATTTCATGAGTTGCTTTCATCTTATAATGCTTTTACATCTCACCTTCCAAATTATTAGTATAAAACTGGCTATAACTCTTTCCAACATGCTGGATTATGTTCTGAATAAAGAGCACAACTAAGTTGCAAAAGCTAGTTCAGAGGGATTCTGGGTTACAAAACATCACTGTAGAAAATTTCTGGAAGAAAATGATGTACAAGAAACGGGGGAGGACTGATAAGGGTAAGAGGTGTGAAAAGGATAGTTTGATGACAATTGCTTTTGTGACTGTACAGGTTTTAGAAGACGAAGCCCGGGAACAAGGCAGAGGCATCCATGTCATTGTGTTAAATCAGGCCACAGTAAGTGATGAAGAACATAAATATGTTCAATATGCTTCTTTTTCCTGACAAAAAGACAATGTGGAGTTTCTTATATTTCCACAAAACTATTCTTCACCTATCACTGAAGTCCCCAAAAGCTGTATTTTGGAGTAGATTTTTTTGGTCAGAGTTCTGGGTTTTTGGTCAGAGTTGTAGAAAAGTCTTTTAAACTCCACTGAAGATTTCAGCAAGTTTCTAGACCTCTAGAATTATGCCCAGCCTATGTTCCCCAAAACTAAAGCTAAGTGTAAAAGGAACACTTGGTAATAAAGGTAATCCTTGACTTACAACCATTTATTTAGAAACCATTTGAAGTTATAATGGGAACCCCCCCCCCCCAAAAAAAGGTACTTATGATTTGGATTCTGCCTCCCTGCCATCCTGTGACCACATTTTGGACATTTGGCAACTGGCCTGCATTTATGGCTTTTTACAGTGGCCTGCATTCACATGACCATGATTTAGGACATTGGTTCATTTAACAACCACTGTAAAAGTCGTAAAATCAGATTTGACCCACTTAATGACTGGCATGATGTAAGACTGTAATTGCAGGGTCTGTTATGGTCATAAATCAAACCTGTATGCTATCTTCCCTGAATTACACCAAACTTCACCCAATTCAGTGAGCTTACCATGGATGACTGCACTCCCCAACTGGCTATGGTAAAAAGGTGCTCACCATTCTGTATTTCCAGTAAGCTCCTTTACTGGGGAAGGAATTTCTATATGCCAACTTCCCCTCTTTCTCCATAAGCCTGTAAAATGTGTGGCTGGGAAGTCTTGCTTTTACAGCCAGTGATCTCACCTGGCATTGAGCTCTCCACAGCTCCCTGAATGTGACAGATGTTCCTATCACTTTTCTTTAAGAAAATGAATTGGAATAATATATGATAGGATACAATGTTGTAATGGGGAGGAGAGGGCAGAAGTATTCCTTAATGGGATTAATCTGGAAAAAACTGCCAGACGTTTTTAAAATATTTCCTCTGTTCAGACATAGAATTTTTAAAAAGTTGGAGGGGGCCATAAGGATTAGTGATGGGTTTCAAAATTTTTTACTACCGGTTCGGTGGGTGTGGCTTGGTGGGCTTGGCATGGCTTGGTGGGCATGGCAGGGGAAGGATACTGTACAATCTCCATCCCCACCCCACTCCAGGGGAAGGTTACTGCAAAATCCCCATTTCCTCCTGATTAGCTGGGACTTGGGAGGCAGAGAATAGATGGGGGCGGGGCCAGTCAGAATTTTTACTACTGGTTTTCCGAACTACTCAAAATTTCTGCTACCGGTTCTCCAGAACTGGTCAGAACCTGCTGAAACCCACCTCTGATAAGGATCATCTAGTCCTAACCTTTGCAATTATCAGGAAAGCCGATTAAACCATCCATGACAGGTGGCTGCTCAGTCTCTTCTTAAAAATCTCCATCAATAGAAAGTCCACAACTTCTGTAAGTAGACTATTACATTGTTGTGCAAATCAGGAAGTTTGTCCTTGTATTTAAACAAAATCTGTTGTACATCAATGTCTCAACTGCAGTTCCCAAAAAAAGAGTTGCGGTCCCAACCTATTTGGAAGGTCACAATTTGAGAAGAAGTGATCTAACACAATTTTGGATTGTTTTGTAGGGCCATGTGATGGCAAAGCGAGTTTTTGACACATATTCTCCCCATGAAGATGAGGCCATGGTTCTGTTCCTCAACATGGTGGCCAAGGGTCGCATCCTTATTTTCACAATTAAGGTAAGTTGAAATTGGTGTTGTAAATGTTTTTTTCTTTCTTTCAAATAACTGACATTTAACAGAAATTAAACTTCTAGTTTCACTTGAAGATAATCTAATGAAACTAGAAATACTTCGATAGAGAAGAAAAGGGGATTGCGCTACTGTTAAACATTAATTTTATGGATTGTATTTGAAAATTTAATCTTGTAATTTTGTATGTATTTAATTTTAAATTATATGACACACGGGTGGGTCCTACTTACCTCCGCTACCGGTTTGCAACCGGAGCACACGCTTCTGCACGTGTGCAGATTGTCAGTGATGATGTCCGGCCGGGTGGGCGGAGCCTCCTACCGGCATTACTACTGTTTCGCAAGAACCAGACCGAACCGGGAGCAACCCACCACTGATGACACACTAGAAAAGCAAAAAAAAAAACCAAGACTTACTGTCAGTTTTCCAAGTAACACCCCTAATGAAATCAAACTTTGAGGCTTGAATTTCCTCAAAGCTAATTTTTATTAGAGATGTCATATTGGCACATCTGGGAAAACCCGAATCTGAGAGCTTCTGGGTTTTCCTCACCCAAAAGAAAGTTCAAGTCCTTGCCCTTCACCCACATGTCCATCACACGAACCAATCGGGTACCCTCCGGAACAGAAGATACCTCCTCATTCTTCTCAGCACAGCTGCAGGCACAACCACCTTGACTTTCTAGATAGAATGTTATTTTGACTACATATCATTTTCACTCCATACAATCCCCGCTCCCATTTTCCCATGGTAGAATTTGTGGCAGGCCGGAAGGCTCAAAGGTGAAAAGATGGCTTCCAGGTCTGACACTTACTTTGACACTTACTTATCTGTGGGAGCCCCAGCCCTGTGGAACGAACTGCCCCCGGAAATTCGTAAGATCTCCGACCTCTGGGTGTTTCGCTGCGCACTGAAGACCCTGTTGTTCCGCCAGGCCGGACTATCAACACAATAGTTTTAAATTGGGGTATTTAAATTTTTTGGGGTTTTAAATCTGAGCCAATTTATTTAATTATTTTAAATTTTACATTGTTGTTTTGTCTGTGTTTTTAAATAGGCTGTACACCGCCCTGAGTCCTTCGGGAGAAGGGCGGTATAGAAATAAAATAATAATAATAATAATAATAATAATAATAATAATAATAATAATAATAATAATAATAATTATTATTATTATTATTATTATTATTATTATTATTATTACCAGTTTTTTTGTTGTTTTTTTTAATGGAGCTTTAGCTTAAAAGAACCGAGGCAGCATCAAATGTTTCTTTATGCTTAAAGGAGATATAAACCATGTATCTGTATTAATATTGTGGGATTTCTTCCTTTTCAGGATGAGGGCTCCTTCCACCTTAAAGACACAGCCAAGAATCTTCTGAAGAGTTTAGGGAGCCAGATTGCAGCTTCCCTCAGCTGGCGAGACATGTGGACATTTGTGGGGAAAAAAGGAGGTCAGAACTGAGCAGGGGCAGAAATCTCCAGGGGAGAAAGGGACGCAGGAGAGGGCTCCTGATGGGTTGTAACTTTTTCAAGGAGAAGTATAATATTAACCAAGCCAAATATTTGGTGCTGCTCTAGCTTCTTGTTTTTCATATATTCATGATATTGGAACTTCTCAGCCCCATTAAATCGGAGCATGAGAAACTGAGGACTTTTTCTGTTAACAATATGGGGGAGTGGGCATAGGCAGCTGCAATGTTTCATATCCAAACCAATTTTCTCTCTTCTACAACAGTTGAGGGTGTCTTTATCTCCTCCTACTCTGAGTGCCATAGAGGGATATTTTGTTAATCTTTCTTTTGCACTATAAAAAATATCCAAAGGAGCCTAGTGAAAAAGTAAGATTGATTGCTGCATCAGGGATCTAATAGTGGACAAGCCAAAGTAGTGAATGGTTATTGGCTGCCTATTGCCCATAATGTGTTGTGTTCTCTGTAGGTGAAGTCTATGGCGAGAAGCATGCCAAGTCTGCACTGCTCTCCTCATGGGGAGAGCCAGTCTTACTGAAAACAGAAGTCCAATTAACCTCTGTGGAAGGTATGATATTCATTCCCAAGAAGGAGTAGTAGAGACTACTCTTGAAACAGCTTTAAAGCTAGGCAATCGAGAACCTGGCTGAGATAAAGAATTGAGGAAGAAGACTAAAACTAGTAAAGTTTCTACTGAAGTGGGATAAAAATTGTCAAGTATTTTGTGTGACACAAGTATAGGAGATCTGAGCCAAGGATAGATTGACTTCCTACTCAGTGTAATACAAGTGATCCTCAATTTACAAACATTTGCTTAGCAACCATTTCAAAATTACAATGGCCCTAAAAAAGAGACTTGGGATCAGTCCTGACCCTTGGGAGCTTGGCAACAGATACCTATTTATAATGGTTAGAACCTTCCAAGGTCACCATACACCAACTTCTCAGCCAGCTTCTGACAAGCAAAGTCCATGGGGGGGAGATGGATTTGCTTAACAACTGCAGCAAAATAAATAAATAAATAAATCAGGCATGATTCATTTAACAATCATCTGACTTAGTGACAGTTGTCTTGATCCCAAATATGGTTGTAAGTCAAGGACTATCTGTATGTTGTTTTAGCTTTTCTCATCCTGATTTTCTTCTGAAACCCAAAATGATAGGCTGGATTAGGGATAGGTTCAGAAATTGGCAGCTCTAATATTCTGATTTACAGTGCTGTTCTCTCTGGTTTCTCTTGAAGCAAATCCAATGAAATTAAAAGCATCCGTGAAGACAAGATCTTATTTTTTTATTCCATATTCAAAAGAGAGGATTTTTTTTTTTTTAAAAAATCATTTTCTGCTTGGCAGCCAGGCATTATTTGTCATAGAAATGTTTTGAATTTTCACTCTCAGAATTTTGATCATTAGTGATGTTTTGTTGCTTATGGGTATCATAGATTGAAACATCCTAACAATGTTCTGAGCTGCCTGTAGCAGAACATAAATTGATAAACGGTTTTCTATTTCAAAACTCTCTTATATCTCATGATGATGTATTCCACAGAGGCAGAATGCCATTGGCCAGATACTGAGTTGAATCGGCGGCGAAAGCGTTTTTGCAGCAAAGTGGAAGGTTATGGAAGTGTCTGCAGTTGTAAAGATCCTACACCTATAGAGTTCAATCCTGATCCAGTAAGTACAATAATGGCCCTTCTTCACCAACTCGTTCTAGAAACAAAATTTCTATCTAATTACATAGATTTTACTGACCTATCAAATGATTAATGTGAGATAGATAGACAGACAGACAGACAGACAGACGATGATAGATAGATAGATAGATAGATAGATAGATAGATAGATAGATAGATAGGAAGGATGTTCTATCTGGCAATAAAGTTTACCAGACTGTGTAGTTGGGAGTCAGATTTTTTTTAAATGATCTTTTATGTTCATATGATTGTTGTATTTGTCCTTCATGCCTTACCTTTTTTTTTTAACCTTTTCTGACTTTTACTTTATTTCCAATCTCCTTCTTTCTTTGCCAACTGCCTATTTCATGTGAGATACATCAGACAAATATAAATACTACTGGGAATCTTTTCTGAATTCTGCAACATATAAGTAGTACACTTTAAAATCTATTTATACCATCCTAATTCTGGTAGTGGTCAGACAGTATTGGTTTGAGTTCATAATCTAAGTCTTGAGACTACAGGCAAGGAAAAATTGCCTGTAGTCTCAATCTTGGTAACTTAAAGATGCATAGATCTCATTTCCCTGATTTCCCCAGCCATCCATTCTGGGAGTTGAAGACCACAGATCCTCAGGTTGCCAATGTTGAGAAACACAGCCTTAAATGTTCAAGTATAGAACAGACAAAAATAAAGGGTGAAATGGGGGGAAAGAGGTGTTGACAGTCTATTTTAAATGTCTGTTTCTGGTGTTCCTTTTTTTAGCTAAAAGACAACAAAGTTTTTGATGTACCTGTTGCTGTCATTGCAGGGAACAGACCGAACTACCTGTACAGGTGAGAGACAGTTAGTAGGGACAAAGTAACTTCTATGCAACATCAAGTGGAGAATTCATATTTTTTGCCTGCCTAGTGTCTGTTGAAATATAATCTCCAGTTCCCAAATGATGTGGTCAAGTTTTCTTGATTTTGTCCCTCTAAACCACGGGTGTCAAACTGGCAGGCTGAGGGCCGGATGCGTCACGTGCAGGCCACGCCCACCCCTGCTCCGCGAAGTGGGGAACCGTCACGATACGTCACATGACGGCAACATGATGCTTCAAGTTTGACACCCATGCTCTAAACAAACAAAGTCTTCTATCCTGCAAGGAAGGGAAAAGTTGTCACAATCCAGAATCAGCTGGAAGAGTTCATCTATAATAGAACAAAAGTGTAAATCTGAGATCCTGCAAATCTCATCCTTTGTTTATTTGTCAACAATTTATATTCTAAACAGTCAACTCTTGAGTGGCATACAATACATAATTTGAGATTAACATGAACAAAGGTTAGTCAAGTTTATATCACTAATACTAAAGTGTTAATCTAGTATTAGATATATATTCTAGGAATATATTAAAAAGCTTTCTGGGAATCACAGCAAATATATTAACCCTTTTCTGTTTAGGATGCTGCGGTCTCTTCTATCAGCACAAGGGGTCAATCCTCAAATGATAACAGTTTTTATTGATGGATATTATGAGGTAAGTCATCAGGAAGAGTGGATCTACTTCTACTTTGGAAGTGTGTAACTTTGGGGGGTGGTCAAGTTACAGCACTTGGGGTGGCCTTTTGGGTGATGTTCTTTACATCAAAGAATTAGGCCAGAACAAATTCAAATTAAAGTTGTTCCCCTACTATATTCTCTTTATGAAAGAATGCACTTCACTGAGAACTTTTGAAAAGGCTCTCAAGATGAACGTAGAGCCTGTAGGTGACTAGCACTGTGTAATATGGGAACTTTAGGAGAGGCATCTTTATCTGAGCGTTGCAAATATATTTTGGCTAAAAACACTGAGGAGATTTTGTTTCTTCTGTGTGTTGTATTACTAATACTACTACTTTTTTTTGTGTTCTGTCATGAAATTTGTTCTGGGGGCAGTAGTAGTATTTACTAAGTGGTATGGTTCAACTCAGACTTAGGTTTGTTGGTCCCTACAGCAGAGCTGTTTTCCTTCCTGAAAAGGAATACCTCTATTCACATGGTAGATACTCCTTTACAGAGTTGTTTTGTTGCCATAGCAACTGTGTCACCTGGCTACAGAAGGGCAGGATGAAAGCAAGTCTTTAAGGCACTGAATCATTCGGTTTTATGCTTATGCATGTATGAGAAAATAAATGGATTATTTTTTTATAGATGAGAAACTTCTAGATACGAAGCCTTGGGATCCTTGTAGACTTCAGAAATCATTCTTAACTAGATCCCTCAGCAATTGATCAGATCTATAATAAGGTTGACACCATCTAACTACTGAGATATTTAATTGTAAATTGTATTTACAGTGAAACAAAGTTATGAGTCATACCCTTTTTTCAAAGACTATTTCAGGCACTTCGTTTAGACCAATATCTGCCATTGGCTATCCCTATAACATAATCTACCCTCTTTGAAACTGGGATGTAACTACTTAATAAAATGCAAATAGAATATATATTCTGATCTACTTCTGTTTTTCTCTGAACAAAATGAACAACTTGTATTCCGTGGGCAAATAAAGAGCCTTCAGTGTTTGGCATTGAAGAAGCATATTATAAAAACATATTATGTCTATAATAAAAATGCTAATGTACCATTTAAAAAAGATAAGGAACATTATAGGAATGGTAATTCTTATTTTTGTAGAAGCAGACAGTAATTTTCATTAGTTACATGAAGTTATGCATCTTGGTTTGAGGATCTGAAAGGTGAAGTTCTAAGATATGTGTCACCTGTAGGTCAGAAACAGAATGCAATACATTTTGAAAATCTGGGGATCACAGTGGGCAGAATACTAATACAAAATTAAGAACTGTGTACAGCTTTTACTTCAGGTATCTCCTGCCTCAAAATAGTGATAAATTATTAATCATTAATAGTTTCAGAACCCACTGAGGACTATAATGAAAAAGCTAGAGGCCACAGGTTGTTTACCCCTATTCTAGAAAAAATCGGTTCAATCCCAGAAATCTCCAAAATAGAAGATGATTTGTATCCAACCTGGAAGATGAAAATGAATGAGCACAGTTCAGAAAACCTTATTTACCACACACATTTCCTTCTTTTCCAGGAGCCAATGGATGTAGTTGAATTATTTGGCCTGAAGGGAATCCAGCACACGCCCATCAGCATTAAAAATGCAAGAGTCGCTCAGGTGAGTGGCTCATTTCATTTCATTGCCTAGACTGCTGCTTCCATTAAACCATTAACTCCATTAGAAATACTATTCTGTACTTGTTATCCTCCAGACTGATTTGTGGTGGATGAGCTCAAGCACAAGCCTTGGCTCTCCATTGGCATTCTGGGCTTGAATTTGTCAGCTTTGTATGGTTAGAAATGCAGGGTATGTGTCAATCTTGCTTTGAGGCACAAACGAAGCCAAGAGTTGAAGATGGTTGGTCTGAATGTTTTAAAAAGTAGCTTTTCAGTAATGACTCTATTAGTATTACCACATTTATAAGAATAAACAGATTTCGAGAAATGCCCCCATTCTTACTCCTTCTTTTGTCCCCATATAGCACTACAAGGCCAGTTTGACGGCAACATTCAACTTGCACCCGGTATGTCAGCTCTTCTATTTTTGCCAGTCTAGAGAGGACTATTCATTTAGGAAAATTCTGCTTTGGAATATGCTCTTCTATGTAACTACTGAGAGTTAGTTTTAATTAATTAAAGGAATTATAGTAATAAGTACCTAACGCAAACCTGGAAGTTGCAGTTGCTGTTTTACGTAAACATAACATGATGGGCAAATATTCATAATGCCATGGTTTTTAGAAATACAGGTTTTGATGATTTGGTTGTTACTGAAAAAGGAATGTTCTTATATTCTGGTGAAGATAATACATTGCTAAGTTGTCAGCTTTCCAGAAATTCTTACACTGAGTGAAAATGTGTATATAAATTTGAAACACTGTAGGTTCCCTTATATCCTGATTGTTTTGTAGGATGCAAAGTTTGCTGTGGTATTGGAAGAAGACTTGGACATTTCCATTGATTTCTTCAGGTATTAATTGAATTCATTTTCTACCTTGGTCTTATTTTGTTTTGCCAGCAAAGAATTGCAGCTGGGTCCTGATACTTCTTCTGTCAGTGTGGCTGGCAAGTTTTAGATGAATATATTGCCATTCATTGACAATGAAAGTATAACTCCATTGCAAGGGAGATACTGTAGGATGAGAGTTCCTCCATCAAGTCCATCAGAAGAAATTCTGATGGTCAGGAAAGATAACTTAGATCACAGTATGTAAGCTGACTCAGAAAAAGTATTTTCACTGAGAAGTATGAATTAGCATTTTAACACAAAATGAGTCTTTAGAGCTTATACAAAATATCTGCATATGTTTGAAGCTTGTTCAGTATCCCATTTTCCAATTCTTATACTCAAAGTGAGAACATATTTAGCTCATGTAACTCATTCATGTCATTAGTTTCGCTAGTGCTTCACTAGTGCCTTTGTTCCAAGCAATCTCCTTTTTAAAAGAATGCTTCAATCTTAAGCAATTCACAGCATTGCTTTCATAAATCAAATCAGTGTTGGCTTGTTCTTTGAAATTCTTCTTCATTTTCTTAGCTTTCTAAGCCAGTCTATCTATTTGCTGGAAGAAGATGACAGCTTGTATTGCATCTCTGCTTGGAATGATCAGGTTAGTTATCTGTTACCCTGATGCTCCCTCTTATCACATTTCACATCATTCCCCCAAACTTGGATGAAGGACTGTGTGATAAGTTTGCTGCTGGGGAAGATTTCCTAAATCTTTCTCTTTTGTTAATTAGGGATACGAACATACTGCTGAGGACCCTTCACTTCTGTATCGTGTAGAGACCATGCCAGGCCTGGGCTGGGTGCTAAGAAAGACTCTCTATAAGGATGAATTGGAGCCCAAGTGGCCAACACCAGAGAAGGTCAAGCATACTCTTTCTGACCTTTGCAATTTCCAAATAAGTAAACTCAGCATTAGTTTTATTTGTTTTATTTCTATAACACTCAATTTTCATCCAACAGTGTGTATTCTGGGTACAATTATGTTTAAATAGTCATATTTATACATCTTCATTATATTTAGTCATCACCATCATATTAATAATATAATAAAATTATAATATACTAATCTTAATGCTTAACATTTAACATCATCTTTAATGACTCTCCTCTATACCATTACCTCCCTTTATATCTCCTCCTTTCCAACTTCTGTTTCTGTTATCTAGCCATTGATAAAATGTGTCCCTTATCAAAAAATATTCAGTTTCTTCTTTATCCTTAATAGCAAGTGTTAATCTATCCATTTCTGCACAATCTAATATTTTTTTAATTACATTCTCCTCAGACGGGATCTCATCACTTTTCCATTGTTGCAAAAATATGATTCTAGTTGCCGTTAATATATGCAGAATCAAATATGCAGTCTTTTTATCATATTTTTCTGTAGAATGCCCAACAGAAATATCTCTGTAAACTCAGCATTATTACTAAAGACCATGTTGGCTGAGAAATTCTAGAAGATGAAATCCATATACTGTATCTAAAGTGCAACCCAGGTTCAGGAAACCTGCTCCAACACTGCAGTTGAAAAGCTTCCGTAATTGGGGAAACTTATTATTTGGAAAGGCTTTATTTTTATTTTTTTATGCTTATACACATAAATGTAGCTTTAAGATTTAAGCAATCATGAATTGTCCCTCAAATCATCAGAAAAATTTCAGAAGTTGGTGCATCAAGGTTTCAGTAGAACAGAATAAAAGGAAGCCTTCCATCCTTCCGAGGTGGATAAAATGAGGACCTAGATTGTTGGGGGGCAATATGCTGATTCTGTAAACTGCTTAGAGAGGGCTGTAAAAGCATTGTGAAGTGGTATATCAGTCTAAGTACTATTGCTATTGCTATTAAAATAACTGACTTCATGATAGCTATTTAAAAGACCTGCTGCTTTAATAATAATAGTGAACTAATGTACTGGCCTCTTCTAATCTGATGTCTTTCAAATACATTGAATTCCACTTCTAATCATTTCCAACCACTATGCTCAGAGGGACCAGATTTGAAGGACCTAGGCTGAGAAAGGCAGATTTAGTTTCTTCTTCTAAAGAAACTCTTCATAAAGGCAAGCATTGGCAAGCTGTTGCTGTGCCTCCATCTACCATCTGCTTAGAAGTCATTTTCCTGATTGGCCTTGGCAAAGCAATTGAGAATGCTTAATACAGATCTAACAATTAACATACTTAAATAACATTTGGTCATGCATGCTTATGTATTTTCTAACAACTTCACATCATTCCCAACTGTTCATGCAATCTAAATATCACATGCAGGTGTTTAAAAAAATGTGGAACATACAAGAACAACGAAAGCATTAGAAAAAAGGGGAAATGCATTTTTGAAGCATTTAGGTTTTATTCAATAAGCTCAGTGACTTGCCATTTTCTCCCATTTATTAGTTTTTATTAGTTTATAATGTAGCATACAAAAAAATGCAAAAGTAAATAATAGGAAAAATAGGGAAGGGAAAGAGAAAAGGGGGAAAAGAAAGAAAAGGCATTGACTTGCCATTTTCCAACTCTATAATATCCAGACTATTTTTTTTTTAAATCAAGGACCATTATATGACCAGCAAATGCCTAAACTAATGCTATATAATTACATTAGTCAGGGATTCTAAAATGGCCCGACTTTTAATGCCAAAGAAAATAACTGAAATCAAACACAACAAAAAGTATTCCCATTTCGTCCAGATTTTATGCTTACATATAAAGTATGCGTTGGAACGGAAATCTCTTGAGCATTAGTGCCAGGATACATTCCATTTTCAAAATTGAGAAATAAGAGCCTACATCTGAAACTTGGGTTGAGTTATCTTCAAGGGGGTTTTAATGCAGTACAAAATGCTTATGGTGGCTGCAGCAAAATAAGTTGCTCTGCGAGAAAAGCTTCTTCTCCGTGTTGTATTTTGCCTGCTTTCTTCTCTCAGCTTTGGGACTGGGACATGTGGATGCGCATGCCAGAACAGCGGAAAGGCCGTGAATGCCTCATCCCAGACGTGTCCCGTTCGTATCACTTTGGCATTGTTGGCCTCAACATGAATGGCTACTTCCATGTGAGTGACCCTGCTAAACTCAAATGCAGAAATAGTAGCTCCTCCTCATACCCTTATTTATTCACAAAATAGCCTGTGTAGGTGTTGAGCGGATTCAATTGGAGAAGAAGCACAGTTAGATTGTTCAGTTTCAAGTGCTTCCTTGCCTTTCAGACAATGTCTACTAATGGCAGCATAATTTTGGAAGGAGGAGAAGGTGGTTTTTTTTAAATAGTCTATGCTAGTCTCCCATATTAGTATTCAAAGGCCATTATAAGTAAATGAAATTTCTCTGGATGGGCAAAGTAGATTTTAAAGCTTCATCTTGTGGGATGGAAGAAGCCCGCTTGCTTGTGAGCACTCAGAAAAAATCGAGTAACTGGTAATAGAATAGAAGACTAGACTAACTGACCCAAGAAAGCAATCAATATCATCTTCAGTTGCTTTATTCCCTAATCCCAATGTTTGCAATTTGTCCTTTTAGTCAAACATTGATAAGCAAAACTCAGCAATTTGTTCACTAAGTACAGCTCTCCCCAATGATTGCTTTTAGCCTTATCTATGAAACAAATGAGATGGTTTAGCTGCAGTTGTTCTTCGGATATGATGGAAAATATTTTCCTTGCAAATCTTTGTTTGGTGCTCTCCCTGCTGTACTTTGGAGGAAAAAGTGGAAGGCTAGGGTAAATGATACTTGAAACCGCCTTTTTTTTTCATTCATATTTTCCCAGGAAGCCTATTTCAAAAAGCACAAGTTCAACACAGTCCCCAATGTACAGCTTAAGAATGTGGAGAGGTAAGTTCAGTACGTAGAGAATATGGAGAACAAGCTAACATGGACACCTTCTGACTTAACCATAAGCTTTCTTGTGTAGGCAACTCACTAATATGAGTTGCCTGAGCCGAGGTGGTGCAGTGGTTAGAGTGCAGTACTGCAGCTACTTCTGCTGACTGCTAGTTCAGCAGATCAGCGGATCAAATCTCACCGGCTCAAGGTTGACTCAGCCTTCCATCCTTCCGAGGTGGGTAAAATGAGGACCCAGATTGTTGGGGGCAATATGCTATTTAGTATACTGTCTTTGGTGTAAGCCTCCCAGAGTCCTCAGAGTGGGCAGCATAGAAATATGAAAAACAATAAATAAATAAATAAATAAACAAACAAACAAACAAATAAATAAATAAATAAATAATAATATGAATGTAGCCATACTAGAGAACTTGAGGAACATGAGCAAGTAAAGATCAACCCTAATATAATACTCTTGACAGGAAACCCTGTCAGGACAGAAATTAAATTCCCTTACCATTTTCAGAGAGCAAGGATTTGGACTAATGGAGGGACTGGGACTATTTACTAATGTCCAACCAAAGTAGACATGTAAAAATTATAATTCAGTGATTGACTCTTGGCAGCTTCTCGTTTGGTTCAAACAAATATGCATCTATAAATGTTTCATATCAGTTCATGAGCACAAGGAACAAGAAGAAAGAATGGAATAAAAATAGAAGAGCAGAAATATAAGACCAATTAGTTTGGTGTAGCTGGTTAATGGTTTAATAGAGACTTCCGTGTGTATTATTTGCAGGGGGGAAAACATTTTGTCATGGAAAACTTGAGTGTACATTAAAACAAACAAACAAAGAAAGAAAGAAAGAAATAGCACTTCAAATTGTATATCATATTTGAGCAATAGCTGCATGACTATAAAATGCCTTTACAAAAAAGAATGGGATGGAAGATTTGCGATTAACAGTGCCTGCCTTAGTAGCTGCAGCATTTACTGGGCTTGTTTATCTCTGCAGTCATTATCTGCCATTCCCTCGATTATTATTATTTGAGCTCTGTGTAAGCACAAACATACACATACCAACGCCAGAAGATTCTGGCATTTCCTTTTGTTTCTGAGGGTTTTTTTTGAAAGTGGGAGCAAATGTTGAGGCCTCTGGGCAACAAATCATTTGGTAGAACTTCAGCAGCAAAATGGCTGATGTTTGCCAACATATTTTTAGACCATGTTTTGAGGATCGGCAGGAAGTTAAGGATGGAAATAAGAGCAGTCCTCCTCTTCCCCACCCCCCACTTAAGATTTCACTGCTTATTTTCAGAGGAAGGTATGTGGAAATGGGAGAAGAAAATGCACTGCTGCAAATCAGCCATTTTTGCCACCATTTTTAGTGACAGACTTACAGTATGCAAAATATCCTACCCCTTTAAAGCAGGGGTGTCAAACTTCCTGATGTGCTTAGTTCCGGCCCACAGGGCCGCCCTGGAAACAGCAAAGAACCAGCCCATGGTGCCTCTGCCAGCGAAAACAGAGCTGCATTTTCGCTGGCAGAGGATTGCAGGAGACCATTGCAGCCGAAAACAGAGCTCGCAAGAGTCATGGGTGAGCCTCCTGAGCTCCATTTTTGCTGACAGAGGGTTGCAGGAAGCCGTCGCATCAGAAAATAGAGCTTGAGAGCCTATTTTCGCTGGCAGAGCACAAGTGCCCCCCAAAAGAGTGATGTTGGGCTGGCCATGCCTCCCCCCACCCGAGGTCAAACACAACCCTGATGCGGCCCTCAATGAAATTGAGTTTGACACCCCTGCTTTATAGAGTGTAAAGCAATTCTATTTCAGTTCTGATTTTTTATTTCTCTTTCTATTGTATAGTTTAAAGAAAGATGCATATGAAATTGAAGTTCATCGTCTGCTCAGGTACCTTATGTGTTAAACAATGGATCACTGAAACTGATAGAGAGGTGGATGTTTTATATGGCCTGATCTAGTGTGCAAAATGTTGGGACTGGAATTATGAAATGCTGGCAAATGCCTGAAAGGTGAATTCAGAAGAGCATTATGGCTAATTTGGCAACTAGCATACCCATTAAAAATATTTTGATTTTGAAATAAGAAAGGAATTTTATTATCTCTCAAAGCCAATTAATATTTTTTGGATTGCATGTTTCTGTTTTGTATCTTTAATGTGGCATTTGCTTCATATTATGGACTTTCCTGTCTGCTTGCCCTCTCTGATCTTATTTTCACCCATTTCTTCAGTGAGGCTGAAGTTCTGGATCATAGCAAAAATCCTTGTGAGGATTCTTTTGTCCCAGACACTGAAGGAAAAACCTACGTGATGTACATAAAGATGGAGCAGGAGGCAGATTTCACAACTTGGACTCAGCTTGCCAAGGTATTTTTCAGACAGACAGACAACCTACTTATTAAAATATCTTATATCGATGTGAAAGTTGAAAAAAGTGTTAAAATAAATCAATATGTCATATTGTTATATAGTCATTACCCGCTTTAGACAGCATGATTTAACTTATACATTATAAGCTAATTAAAAAGCAATAACTTCTGTCTGCCTTGGAAATTTTAATGACTTTAGAAAACCATAAAAAAAGGGAAAAAAGCTACCGTAAATGTTAAAAGTTTATGTTAGGAGCAAATAAACTTGAGATGTTGTACAAATCTGTTTACAAAGTTATAATCTAATAATAGCTCCTGCATTCAGTTATATTCTCTATCAGATCTATTTAAAAAAAAAATTAGTTTTAACATTGATTCATACACCCATAACTTAATTTACCATTCTTTTACAGAAGGAATTATTTGTACTTTCCATTAAAAAGTATAGAATATTCTAGTAGCTGTTGCCATGTACAAATCCAATTCATTTTGTAGGAATACTTGGTTTAATAACTGGTAAAAAGATAACAGGATAAAAAAAAAGAAAACCCACCATTAAAGCCTGTTTAATTTCCACCTTTACTTCTTGCCTAGCCTATGATAAAGTTGAAAAGGAATTCCTGCTCAAATTTAGGCCGTACCATATTATAAGCCAGCACTGAAAGCTGCTTAGAAACACTCAACTGGTTTAGATTTTGAATCTTTAGTCACATGATTCATTCAGTCTTGCTGTCAGACACTTATAACTTGTTCTTTTAGTGCCTCCACATTTGGGATCTGGATGTCCGGGGGAATCATAAAGGACTATGGCGGCTCTTTAGGAAAAAAAATCACTTCTTGGTTGTAGGAGTCCCTGCCTCTCCATATTCGTAAGTCATCTTGTGGGTCAAGTTAGACTTAATTGTTGTATGAAACTTTTCTTTTTCCCCTCCGACTCTTATCGCCAGATTATTTGGCTAGGCACTTTCTCTTTTATACATGATGTTCTTAAGCAAAATGTCAGATCAAATGATTTTTTTTCCCAAAGGGAGTCATGGAGACATCTCCTGTTATGGGTAATTAGCTTCTATCCATTGCTTAGCTCTGCTGCAAGTTGGTCCTTATTTAATTCTTTAATGAAATGGACATTGTGTAGAACTTTAGAGCAAGAAGCACTAATGGGACTACCCCCTTGTAATCCTTGGGTGTAGTTCCAGAGGCTTTCAGAAGTTATTCTTAAATTGCAGTTTTTAACATGCGGAAGGAAGAAACTGTTAAATTCACAACTGGACAGCAATCATATTAAAATAATTTTTAATTACATTTACATGTACATTTCATAAAATCAACTGTTGTCCAAGTTAGTTTTTGGAAAGCAGTGCCCAGTCTTCAACGGCTCAAGGTTGACTCAGCTTTCCATCCTTCCAAGGTTGGTAAAACAAGGATCCAGATTGTTGGGGGCAATATGCTGACTCTGTAAACCACTTAGAGAGGGCTGTAAAGCACTATGAAGTGGAACATAAGTCTAAGTGCTATATTGTTTAAAAGCCAGATGTGAACCTTGGGCCAACATAAATTTTGCACTCTTGCTTTTCAGTGGATCGTAATAGAGAATAGAATAGAGCAACTATAAAAAGATAAGCGGGATGAGGCAAAAGCTAAAGATGCCCTACATTTTGGACATACAAAATATTCCAAATTCAGTTTTCATGTAAAAACACTGGATACTTTAGTTGGATATTATGGAAGACTGGTACAAATCAGACAGCACTAGGTTAGATGGATATATTGCAGTCCACTTTATTCAGCTTGCATTTTCCCTGACCTCAGTCATTGACTGATACCTTAGAATTCTAAAGTTGAGACTTGGTGCTTCTAGAAAGCACCAGATTAGAAAACTCTGTAATACTTTGCCCCTCAAGACAGTTTTATATATTTTGTTATTCATCCTGTTGAATATTTTCCATCTCCTTTTCTGTACTGGTAATTCGAGACCAATTTTTTTCCCCCCTAGATTCAAAAAACCTTCTTCAGTGACCCCAATCTACATGGAACCCCCAGCCAAGGATGAGGCAGCAGGAGCAGAGCAAACATGAAGCAGATCATGGAATGTTGACCATATTGCCTTCATAGCCTGCAGAATAGGAGGGAAGAGGAACAGTTAGAGCTCTCTGGAACTGGCTTTTCTCTGGAAGTTTTGAGAAGTAGGACAAGCCAAAGGGAGCTCTCTCCATCCCTCATCCTCAGGCTGCTGCTGAGAGTGGATAAATTGCCTTGGAAGAACAGGCGTCTTTAATATTTTTCTAAGCCACTGAAACAATGCAGTTGTCTCATTTTTAATATTGATGCTTTACTAATTGTGGGCCACTATTTCCCCAAATTGGGGTTGGGCCTGAGGGAGCTGTTTGAAAGGGATTGAATCCCTTTAGAAGCTCTTTCTACATTGTGACCTGAGGATATATAATTTTTTTTTAATTTATTAGTTTGCTGCAGTGGTCAGCCACCTTCTGAAGGCTGTTTTCTTGCTTTATATTTTTGCTGGTTTTTGAGGTGAGTAATAATGACGGGAATTGTTCCTGGAAAGCTTATGGGCCATACCTTAAACCCACATACCACTGCCTGGCTAGTGACTTTATGGCCAGTGGTTCACATGTGCACAAAGAAGAGGTTTGTGGCCTTGGCTTTGTGATCAAAGGATGCAAGCTGCAAAAGAACTGCATGTATTTACTGTGTACTGAATGTCCTGGTCACTCAGGCTCAGAATTCCCTTTTTTCCTCTCTCATCCTCTCCTCCCATTGGGCAGAGATGGCATTGAAAGGTGGTCCCTTTCAAAGCAATGGGTTCTAAGTTCCCAGGGGATGTGCTTGGATTCAGCTAAGGCAGTTGGTCTTGGTTGAAATATCTGAAAAGATACAGGCTAGATGGTTTGGTCACTTCCATAAAATGCCTGCAGGAAGAGCTAAGCATCAGTAAAGAAGAAAAGTGCCTTGAGCGAGCACGTGCTGGCCTGGGAAGCTTTAGTGTTTACCAGTATATCAGGGTACAGAAGTAGTAAATGAGTCAAATTAAATCTTACTTCCGAGTGAGGCTGGTCTGTAGGTTTCTGAAAACCAAACCCAGAAGTAGCCAGCCATCATAGGTCTTTCTACCACTAATGACAACTCCACTTACTCTCTCTCCTGCGATATAACCCATGTCCCTTCCTGTTAAATGTGAGGTGCAGGTACTGAAGTATTTTGCCCCCAAAGAAAAACCCAAAGGGACTTGTATGCACCGAGGAAGGTTTTGAGACTAAGTCCTAAGAAAGGGCAACTCAGGACTCTGCTAGGTAGATAATCAGAGGTGAAAGGGTGTGGGGAGACAGAGGAAGAAGCAATTCAGGGATAAAGCAAATCATGGTTTCCTCTTGGATATCCTGATGTCAGCGTTCCAAATTAGGCTCTTTTCCAGCGCTGACATGACACCTGTGCCTTATGGAGAAGAGGGAAGGTTTTAGGTCTCAAATGTGACTTTCAGTATATTCACACTATGACTAGATTAAGGGAAAAGGAAATGAGCATTCCCCTCAAGAGAACAAGTAGATTCTAGTTTGAGGCCACCTTTCCTTCATTTTGTTGAGTTACCTCTGTTTTCCTCTTTTTCCTCACTGTCCTCAAACCTGTGCAATACCAGTATGAGTTAAACAGCAAATACCTTTTCCTATCCATAAGGCAGCTTGAAAACTTCTTGTTTTGATTAGTTAACCAATGCATGGTTATCCTTGAAACTCAGGCTCCTACTTATTCTAGAGCCCAAGGGTTTCTGTGCTTGAATGAGACCTCAAATGGAACATATGACCTAACACTGTCCTAAATATATTTGCAAAGGTCATTGTCTGCTGCGTCCCTACAGTTTTCATTGGCAAAGGAATAGTTCATGCGAGGATTTCTGCCGACAAAAATTGTGGTCCTCTTTGCCCTATCATTCTTGGTGGATGATGGTTTTCCATTTGTAAGATGAATGTGAACTCCAGTGTGAGAGTACAACAGTGCTGCTTTTGCTCTGCCTTGACTTCATTTCCTGCCCTGTTATGTGAAGGAGAAATGGCTTTTTCTAAAGAAACACAGAAGAGACATAACTTACTAAGATTCCTGACAAGGATGTTGCTTGGTGTGTTTTAAGTATGCAAATGTGCATCAGAAAAACAAAATGTTCTGTGCAAATGCAGGGGTATGAAATAACTCTCATTCTGGAGCCACAAGCACTTAGATCATTCTGTGGAACTTGGCATATAACTTCCTTTTTGGGCTCGTGTAGTCTCTCAAAGCTGGTTCTGTTAATGGGGAGTAACTTCTACATTTAGGGCTGAGGAGTCAACAACTTGAATTTACACCTTTTAGGAAGTATGCTGTGATTTTTTCCCCCTTATTTATTTGGCCACTGGGACTGATAAAAACAATCAGTTCCTTGATTTATATGGTGGTTCAACCCTTAATATTGGGGATAGAGACTCCATATCAGGAACAGTCCTAAAGGCTATTTTCGGGGGGCAGGAGCAGAAAGAGATTTAATAGATTTGTTACCAAGTGAATGTCAAATCAATGCATGGCCCTCTTCTATTTGTAGATGTAAATTCGGATTTATTATTAGGGTCTTCAAAATCCTTGATTTTGAAAGAAGGACTAGGCTACATTTGGGGGAGGTGAGATTCAGGAACAGACTTCTGGTCTGTGCTAATCCTTAATGTGTTGTGTTCTCCCTACCTTCACAGCTCTAATTTCCGTTGTCCCTTAAATCCCTTAAATCCTTGGTAGAGAAGAGCACATACCACTTCCTTCTATTGCAATTTCATAGTAGAAAGGCCATTCTTGCAAATCTGGAAACCCTGCTCACTTTATATAATACTTCAACTGGAGTGGTGGAGGCCCTTACACTTCCAAGGTCCATCTCTTTCAGAACTGCATTTTCTATACAGTGATTCAAGGTTACTTTGTTAAGACACAACCATATTGTTTTATCAGGTCCAACTTTTGCCCTGTCTAGCCAAGTGTAGGAATACCTGACAGTGATGAAATGCTATGGAAAGGAAGGTTACTTCGATGCAACATTTATGAGAACTTTATTAAATAGTTTTTGATATGTTTTTGGGGGGGGCAATAAAATGCTAGAGATGATAATTCTTCTCAAGGCCAGTTCAGCCATGAAGGTAAAGGCAAAAGTCTAGAGATCCATAAATGCCTTGCACTTCATTCATCAAAAGGCAGTTGACTAGAGTGATTAGATCTAGAAGATCTACTTGTATTAAAGAAAAATATTTGCCCCTTCTAAGTAATGTATAGCCAAGAAGAAATAGTTGACAGCAGGGGAAGAAAATGGCATGAATGTTTATACTGATTTTATTTTCCTTTCATCTAATCGTTTTTAAAAAATCTTAGAATTGTTCTTTTTCTTACCAAAAATATAAAATTCCCTGAAGATGTTTACATCTGATGCTTCTGTTATATCAACGTAGGGTTTGGAGAAAAAAGAGCAGTATTCATCTCCTTGGTTGAAATGAGATTTTTGTCCTCATCAAACAACAAATAAATCTAGGGGATCTGATATGTCTAGTGCCATTCTTTACAGACTACACTATGCAGAAAATGGCAATTGAATTTTCTCTCCTATTTCCTTGTGCTTATACACTCATTCTGGCTAGCCACTCTTAAAGACGGAATAATATAAAAGTAAATGAAATTACTTGTAGTCTACAAGGCAATAACTATTAGCTCCTTAAAACAATTGAGGTGTGTATGGAGAGAGTGAAATAACCAAATGATTGTCCTTTTTGAGATTTTGTTTAAATTTGAACTATTGCAAAACACCTAGCAGTTTTCAGGCATGCCTGAAACAATGGGATATATTCAGATATTGCTGGATTGTCTGTCATTTTGTATAAGATCTTGTGGCCTAAGCTGCTTATCAGGTCCAATCTTCCCCCATTCTGCATACAATTATGCTTCACTCCATACTTGCAACATCAAAACTGGTGTTATAGTCCTCTGAATAGATTCCATCTGGGCTAGATTTACTCTTGCTACCCTTTTTTCTATTGTTAATTTCTCTCTCTCTCTCTACCTCCTTCTCCCTCTCCCTTTCTGTTTCTCTCTCCCTCTCTCCTTTATTTCCCCCTTTCTGTTGTCCAACTTAAGCAAAGTATTTGTGGCCTGAGTGCTTCTGGTTTGTGGGCAGGCATCTCGTCTTGCATGCAGTCAGGGAGGGAAGAGAGGTTGAGAGAAACTGGGCTGGCTGCTTTTTGGTATCTCATGTGCCTGTGTTTTCCAAAAATAAAGATGCAAAAAAGAATTGTTGCATCTCCTGTCTTTTACATCTCTATGCATGGTGATGTCTTTTCCTGCAAATAAAGGCTGTCCTTTTTTAGAAGGTGTGGCATAGATTATCATTTCATCCTGAGCAACTTTGACGAAAGTGTTGTGTTCTCCACTTATCTTCTCAGGTCCTTAAAAGACACAAATAACAAATTCTGTCCTAGATTTACAGGAGTTTTCAAAATTGATCATCTGCAAACAGTACAGGTAGAATAAGCATCTCATCATATTATTTTACAGAGAGTAAAAAAAAATGGATATTACTGCTTTTGCAGGAAACCAACTCTTCAGAATACTGCTGTAGTGTTATTTTGTCAGATTCCTGTTGTGCGTTGGCTCACTCTACATAGCACCGTTCTTTCTGTGATCAATCAAAACTTGTACAGGTAGTCCTCAACTTACAGCAGTTCGTTTAGTGACCATAAAGTTAGAACAGCACTGAAAAAAAATGACTTATTTTTTAAAATAGTTTCTCACACTTAACGACCGTTGCAGCAGCCCCATTGTCATGTGATCAAAATTAAAATGCTTGGCAACGGACTCACATTTATGATGATTGCAGGGGTCATGGGATCACCTTTTGCGACCTGACAAGCAAAGTCAAATGGGAAAGCTAGATTCACTTAGCAACCATGTTACTAAAACTGCAGTGATTCATTTAACAGCTGTGGCAAGAAAGATCGTAAAATGCGGCAAATTTACTTAACTGTCTCTATTAGCCACAGAAATTTGGGGCGCAATTGAGGTCATAAGCCAAGGGCTGCCTACACTTAGTCCAATCAGGTACATAACATCAATAACTTTATTCAAGGTGGGCTTGCCTGCCCCTATGTTTTTTCATCTTTTCCCCCTGCCAGACATTTCACCTTGCTTTGTAGTGCCAAATAAAAGAACTATTATATAGAACCACTAGAGGTCCCCAGCTTTTCATAAGCTTCAAAGGAGCAAGCTGCTTTTAAGCACTAATGCATTTTAGCCCCTTGGAAATATAAATGAGCTGAGCTGAATCAAAAATATATCAGGCTGTGGACACATAAGGTGAATGATCTCACTCCCTATCACTTCTTCCAGGTAAGAGACAAAGAACAAATAAAGTGCTATGTGCCTGCTCAGATGAAGGGCAACTCCTAGAAAGGGGCATGATGAACATTAATAACTGAAAAGGTGTGTTCCTTTTAGTGTTGTATAAATTTATTCCACTAAACTCCACACATGCATCTACTATAGTAACTTGGCAAAAGCATATTGTTCCATTCAAAACCCTGTTGCCCAATCAGGTACATTAAAACAAGCTATTTCAAACACTTTAAATACCTGTACAATTAGCACAGTCCCCCCCCCCAAGGCTGTGTGCTCTCCCCACTTCTCTCTGTATACCAATGACTGCAACCCTAATGATCCATCTGTTAAAACTACTGAAGTTTGCATGACACAACAGTGGTCGGTCTCATTTGAGACAATGATGAATCCGCATACAGACGGGAGGTTGAACAACTAGCCTCGTGGTGCGACCGGAACAATCTGGAACTGAACACACTCAAAACTGTAGAAATGGTAGTAGACTTTAGGAGAAACCCTTCCATACTTCCACCTCTCACAATACTAGACAACACAGTATCAATAGTAGAGACCTTCAAATTTCTAGGTTCTACCATATCGGAAGATCTAAAATGGACAGCTAACATCAAAAAGTTCATCAAAAAAGCACAACAAAGAATATTCTTTCTGCGCCAACTCAGAAAACTCAAACTGCCCAAGGAGCTGCTGATCCAGTTCTACAGTGGAATTATTGAGTCTGTCATCTGCACCTCTGTAACTGTCTGGTTTGGTTCTGCAACACATCAAGGCAGAAACAGACTTCAGAGGATAATTAGAGCTGCAGAAAAAACAATTGCTACCAACCTGCCTTCCATTGAGGACCTGTATACTGCACAAATCAAAAAGAGGGTTGTGAAAATATTTACAGACCCCTCACATCCTGGACATAAACTGTTTCAGCTCCTACCCTCAAAACGACACTATAGAGCACTGCACACCAGAATAACTAGACACAAGAACAGTTTTTTCCCAAACGCCATCACTCTGCTAAACAAATAATTCCCTCAACACTGTCAAACTATTCACTAAGTCTGCACTATTATTAATTTTCTCATCGTTCCCATCACCCATCTCCTCCCACTTATGACTGTATGACTATAACCTTGTTGCTGGTATCCTTACGATTTATATTGATATTGTTTCCTGATTGCTTATTTGTACCTATGACTATCATTAAGTGTTGTACCTTATGATTCTTGATGAACGTATCTTTTATGTACACTGAGAGCATATGCACCAAGACAGATTCCTTGTGTGTCCAATCACACTTGGCCAATAAAAATTCTATTCTATTCTATTCTGTTCTGTTCTGTTTCAAACACGGATATCCTTTAAAACCTGAAAGATAGAAGCATTGTAAGCTCCCTGAGTCTCCACAGAAGGGCAGCATATAAATCAAATTTAAAAAAAAAAAGCCTAGTTTGAATTGGCAGCATAGAATTGCCAGCAACACTGAACAAATAATGTCATTAGCGGCTTTGCATGCCACGTATTGTTGAAAAGTCCATTTCCATTAAATAAAAGTCTGAAGAGAAAATGCATTACATGTTTTATTGTATTAAAGTAATGAACAGTATATGTCCATTTGTGCATGAGTTGATTTGGCGTATTTGTCAAAGTGGATGCTTTCTTATAGCATTGACTGACCTATGATATTTCATATCTCTTAAAATATATACATACTCCCTTCTAATGCAGTTCCAAAGCTTCCTCCCATTCTACATGGCAGAAAATATTAAAAAACAAAATTGTATTAAAATGGAGGGAATAAAGATTAGATCTTCATAGGGTTCTGAATATTTTAAATAACACTTCAGTCTTTGTGGTTTCAAGCAATATTCTGGACTTTTCCACCATAAAGGGCACAACAATCTAGCAGATTATCTGATTTGGCAGAAAAACAAAATCTTAGTTGAGACATGATGCAAACCCAGGTGCTTTTATGTACCTTTCAAAGAAACATTTAAATGTTCCTTTGACTCTTGGTCAGTTGTAAGCTACTATAGACCAAAAGTAACCATGATCCTCGAAGAGTCATAGAACTGCATAGTGAAATGAATGCACAACATGAAAGCATTTGTCCATATTAAAATAATTCATTAGGCATAAGCATACTTCCCACTTCTATCCATAAGCAACTGAGTCAGAGAAGCAGTCTGTCTGTAATAAGGGAGGTAATATGAAATCATCATGCCTTATAGCCATTGTACATGAACCGTCATGCCTTATAACCTCCATGAATTTGTTACTTTCCTTTGAAAGCTGAAAATGATGGTTATCTGTAGAGCCACGACAACATATTTTGCATGTTAAATACCCTCTGTGTAAAAAAGTGCTTCCTTTGATCTGTCCTTATTGGTTTCACTGAAATTCAATAAATTTCATTCTGTGTTGCCTAATCTAAGGCAATTTAGTTAGATTAGGCAACTCACTCTGTACATCCCTCAGCTTCATACGGTAGTAGTAGCAGTAGGAAAAGGATATCCTTTTACTAATATTTTCCTATTACATATTCATTCCCAGCACTGTAGCATTAAACTGTAACCTATGCAAATGGATATGAAAAGTCAATAGCACTAGCAGGTGAAAGAGATAAGTAGGAATACAACAGCTTGTAAATTAATGGCATTATGTCAGAACAGGCAAGGGCACAGTTGATGTCTGGATAAGATGGTTGTTACCATATTAAATACGATAAAGGTACAATGCTTGTAATTCCTATTAGTTGACTTTTTTTTGCAGAGTGAATGAGGAGTGTTCTGTAATCCTTAATTCTCCCCCGGTGGAACACAGCAGTGTAATCTAATCTATTAGTTGCCATCTGGAATATTTGATGGAAATGACTCAGATGGTTTGTGTTTGGTGTTAACATAAATGCGGAATTTACTTAAATGCAACAGTCAGAAACTACAGACTAATGAACTACAAGATCAAGGTTAAAACATGTTAGCTTTGGTAACTCTTAATATACTTTTACTGGTTGGTGAAACTTTAAGATTTGTTTGTAGAAAAAAGATGGGATATGGGGAGAGGATTCTCAGAAAAGACAGAATGACTGTTAAGAATGTTAAAACAAAGTATAAAGCTAAATTTGATTCAACTTAATGTAGGTAATAGGATACGTACCACATATTAGGTAATCCTCATCTTCAGAAAGATTATCCATGAAATTGGACAGCAAGCCTGTAGGGGATCTAAGGTTTTGAAAGGGCCACAGACCCTATTTCTGAGGCTAAAGGGGAACTCATAATAATATATTTAACTTTGATAATTATCAATTGCAAATAAGTATTTTTGCAGGGGTATCCAGATTTTACTGTGAGGTTTATCACTAAATAGATATTGGCTCTTACATTGGGAAATTTTAATGACCACATGATAGTATTAAGATTTTATTTGAAAAAGGTCTTTTTGAACATGTTTCTTCAACATCATTTACCATAATGCAATGTTTCTAAAGGATCTGCTTGCCATATGAACAAGTTTAATTTCCAGTGACTCTAGTGTTATAAAAAGTAGGTTCTATTTGCAATTGAAATATCTTATTTAAATTATTTGAACTGAAATATTGCTGAGTTCAGTGTGTTTTGGAAGCTTTATCCACAAGGTCATGATGGAATAATAAATAGATTAAATGCAAATCATTTTACCAGGCCTGATTATTATTTTTAAAAGAAAGGTTCTTTTCTTTTTCCAGTGTAAATAGTGACTAATTGCACTACCTTTCCTGGACTCTGATAGGCAGCAAAGTACATTTTTCTGTAAAAGATAGCATTGTTGTACAACCATGAATCATATAATCAGAAAGTTGGCAGGATTCTTTTAAGGCTCTCGAGTCCAGTTGCTGCTGAGTTTAGGAATCTAAATTAAAGCAAGTCAGACTGAAGGGGCGTGGCCTCCTTGTGAACATTCCCAATTAAAGGGATCCCATTTTCTCTCTAGATCAGAGGTGGGGAAATATGGCCCCTTTATGACCTGTGGACTTCAACTCCCAGAATTCCTGAGCCAGCCCCTTTACAACCTACAGATTTGAAGTCCGTAGGTTGTAAAGGGCAATGGTTTCCCATCCCATGCTGGCTCAGGAATTCTGGGAGCTGAAGTCCACAGGTCATAAAAAGGCCATAGTGCCTCACCCTACTCTAAATAGTAAATGCGAGGTTAGACTGATTGGCTTGTAGGATCTTCCTTTTTCTCCTTGTTGAAGATAGGGACAAAATTTGCTATTTTCCAAATCTGGCTTTTCACTGACTTTCTAGATTTCTGTTGGTGCACATGCCCCCCCCTTTTTTTTTGCAACAATTGCATACTGCTAGGCCATAACTCAGTTTGCCCGACCATCAGTTAGTTCCTCCAGTACCTTGACATACAATTCATCTGAATCTGAAGAGTTCAATTCATTTAAATCAAAGAGGTATTTCCTGCACATCTTTCTGTCCTCTTTCCTGCCTTTCATCTTGCATAACTATGCTTTATTTGTTATCATTTTACAGTCTTAATTCAGCAGTTGGTGTATTGATTCTTCTTCTTTTAAACAAAACTAAAGAAGACCCAGTTGTTAGAGTTAGGTTTCCCTCCTTTGACAGTAGCTCTACAGTTCTAGGCTGGTGCTACTCTTCCTTTGTAGTGTGGCAGGGGCGTAGTCAAAACAGCCAAGATGGTGGTTGTATAACAGTGTGATGGAAGCTCTGCCTGTTGTGTACTGCACTTAAAAAAAAAATAGAAGTTCAATTGTACCATTACAACCATCATCTTGACATTTTTGAGCACACTCTTTGACAACCCTTGAACTGCAGACTCTTTCCATTTCCTGCATTGTGCACATTCTTTTATATTTCCTTATCACTACGTTTTTTTGTGTCCAAAAAACTTCCTTTATTCCCTTCCCTTATTGCAGGGCTGGGCAACTATGGTCCCTTTATGACCTATGGACTTCAACTCCCAGAAATCCTGAGCCAGCCTCTTTACAACCTACGGATTTGAAGTCCGTAGGTTGTAAAGGGGCAATGGTTTCGCATCCCTGCCTTATTGGGGTGATTTGCAAGTGTCCTTTTAAAATCTCCTCCTTTAGGAATTTCCACTTATCCACAGCTCTTTTTCCCATTAGAGGGCTGTGAAAATATTTACAGACCCCTCGCATCCTGGACGTAAACTGTTTCAATTCCTACTTCAAAACGACGCTATAGAGCACTGCACACCAGAACAACTAGACACAAGAACAGTTTTTTCCCGAATGCCACTCTGCTAAACAAATAATTCCCTCAACACTGTCAAATTAGTTACTAAGTCTGCATTGCTATTAATCTTCTCATCGTTCCTATCACCCATCTCCTCCCATTTATGACTGTATGACTGTAACCTTGTTGCTGGTATCCTTAAGATTTATATTGACTGTTTCCCTATGACTATCGTTAAGTGTTGTACCTTATGATTCTTGATGAATGTATCTTTTCTTTTATGTACTCCGAGAGCGAATGCACCAAGACAAATTCCTTGTGTGTCCAATCACACTTGGCCAATAAAGAATTCTATTCTATTCTATTTCCCTGCCACATGGTGCCAGTTATCAGTGCTCTAAGTATAGTAAAATCTGGGGCTTTGGGGTTAGGTGGCTATTTTTTCTCAGGTTCACTTCCTCATACAGTTCATAATGACATTGCATCTTCCTGTTGATAAGTATCGAGTCAAGGCTAACCGATCTACTTGTGCCTTTTTCTATCACCTGACTCTGACGTCGTATACTTGGCTGAACTCCCCAAAGATATAAGAGGAATTGAAGTCTTCTGACATTAAATTTTCATGCTTCTGTGCTTCAGAAAGCATTCATCCACATTTTTTCTTGTACGGGCAGGCAATAATAGACAACCACTAACAATTTGTTTATTTGTTTCTCCTTATTGTAATTCAGATGCTCTGTTAAGCTGGTCGAGTGGACATTTTTCACAAATAGTGCAACTGCTCCTTCCTTTCTTCTGCTTCTGTTCCTTTTGAACAAATTATAGCTTTCAGGTGATATACTCCAGTCATGTAAATCATTCCACCAGGTTTCGATTAAGTCTCTCAAATTATATTTGCCTTTCCATACCAAAACCTCTTACCTCCCACACTCTGATATAACTAATAGCATTACTTTTTTTTATACATACTCAAAGAATCATATATTTTTAAATGCTGCTGGAATAATCCAAAGGTCTAAATAGTGGATTTCTGTGGTGTGTGTGTTATTTTTTCTGAATAGCTTAAAGAAACATTGCACAATAGGTTAGCGTTCAAAGCTGGTTGAGACTCTTATATCTACCACTTCTAGCTTAGAAATATGATAGTAAGCTGGAGAAATGAATAGCAGCTACCTAAGCAACCAAGCCTGGAATGTACACAAAATACAAGATTGTTGTGTTGCTTCAATCCTTGGGCCAGTGTAAATACATTATCCATGGCTAGAATCACGTTATAGATTACAGAAGAAGACTATGGGGTCATGTTCACCTTTCATAAGTGAGATATGGTCAAGTCATTGGTGAAAATGGATCCTCGGTATTGTGAAATTGCAAATATCCATATTGTTTTTCTCCATAGTTGCCCTGTGTATTGTATATCAATGCATGTTGAAAAGATTGTCTGATTAATACTAAGATTTATATTCTTTATTTTGTGAGGAAGTTCATCAGTGTTTTTAAAGGAACCTATTTAATATAAAATAAGGTGTAATACAGTATGCTTAACATATTTGGGCTTCATTCCCATCCTTATTTAGTGGAAAAACATTTTACACTGTATAAAGTAAGAACCTTTGTCGCTATCCTTATACCAAATTCCTAGTTTTTCATTTTTCCAATTGTTACTGGGAAATTTTAATCTGATTAAATAATTTAATCTCTATTGCATTTGTAGAAATGCTACATTACAATTCATGCTGAAGTGCTTAAAGCAGTGTTTCTCAGTCTCAGAGCCTTTAAAATGTGTGGACCAACTCCCAGGATTCCCCAGCCAGCATGGCTGACTGGGGAATTCTGGGAGCCAAAGGCCGCACATCTTAAAGGCTCTGAAATTAAGAAACACTGGGCTGGAAGAATGGTTCAGGACTGGGACAATAGATCAATAAGACATTCAGTTTGGGATAATCATGTTCATATAACCCAGGGGTCAGCAACCCATGGCTCTGGAGCCGCATGTGCCTCTTTCATCCTTCTGCTCTGGCTCCCTGTTGCTGCTCAGTTCCACACTTGATAGGGCTTTCAGTTAGGACAGGTAGAGGAAAAAGGATGCCGTGCTAGGAGGAGTCTCTATGGTGGGAGAATGGACTTCCAATTGGCAGAGGAAAAAAGATGCCGTGCTAGGAAGAGACTGTGATGGGGGAGCTGGACTTCCGGTCGACTCCAGAATTGATGGGGGCTTCTGGTTTGGACCTTTGTGGCTCTTTGAGTGTTTAAGGTTGCCGACCCCTGATATAACCTAATCATTGACAAGATTGTTATGAAGACATATAGAACTAATTAAAAAAATGAAGACTGGGATGGCCGAGATGATTAAACTGAACAATACAGTAGGAGGATAGGCCTCTTTCACTACAGTAAAAATGGCATAATCAAGGACAGGACTAGAAAAAGTCAAAGCGGCTCCAGACCTTTCACATGTGTATAAAAGAGCAGGATTTTGATTGTGAAAATGCAACTGAATAGTCACATTTAGATAAAACCATGTTATTCAACCCCAAAAATTAGCTGTGTGGAGAAACGTGGAACAAATACATTTTAATATGAAGTTATTAAGTTCAATAAATAACTTGCAAGTATACATAAAATGAGGAACTGAGAAAAACTGACAAGTATTGATTCATAACTGACATCCCTAATCTTAATTGGCAATAAAGAAATAAAAATTATATGGCAATAGTCAAATAATGACTGTGTTCTCATAGAGATAAAGCCATCATCTTAACCATATTTTGTTAAATAAACCATAGTTGCCTAGGTTCAGTGACAAGCATTAATGTACTATGCTATATCCAAACTATGAGAACCTGTTTGGTATAGCAAGGTTAGATTAGAAACTGGGAGTGTATGAGTTCTAGTCAGGTCTTGGGCATGAAGCCAGGGCCAGTCATTCGCTCTTCTTCCTAGGAAGGTGGCAATGGCAAACTACTACTGAGAAATTTGTTCAAAAAAACCAGCATGGACTTGTCCAGGTAGTCTCAAGAATCAGATATGATTGAACAGAAGAAATATTCCAAAATAAACAATCAGCATTTTCATTTATTATGGCATCTGTGGAACACAGCATCATGATTTAAACACTGCCCTATTCATAGATACAAAAGGAGCCTTGGTGGCGCAGCAGACTAAGTGCTGTTAAGTAGCACTTAGCTGCCACCTGCCTGCAATTACTGCGAGTTCAAATCTCACCAGGCTCAAGGTTGACTCAGCCTTCCATCCTTCCGAGGTAGGTAAAATGAGGACCTGGATTGTGGGGACAATAAGCTGACTTTGTATAAAAAAGAACACCGCATGGGGGGGGGGGGCGAAAGCCCTACTAAGCAGGTATATACAAAAGTATGAAGGCTATTGCTTAATGCATTGTAAGCCGCCCTGAGTCTCCGGAGAAGGGCGGCATATAAATCGAACCAATAATAAAAAGATGTTGACCCCACCTTCATATCTTGCCTCTTTTGACCTCTCCTCCTGGTTCCATGCCATGGACACCACTCTCTGGGGGAAACCCAGCCACTTAAGGAAGTGGAGCTGACTTTCCTAAGCAAGAGGAAAGGAGAATTCAGTGATCTAATAATATCCGGTTCTTCCTAATCAAGAATTGAAAGGATGCAGAATTTATTCAAGTTACCAAGTTTAGATTTTGTTCATATAAATCCTCCATGCATATTCTCTGAATCACAACTTTACTGCTGGGCATCAACTGAATTCATCTGGATCGACTGAGAGTTGTTTTTTTTTAAGTACTACTGCGTCTGTTGTCCTTGCAATTTACAACCATGCTCTTTTAATTAGTAACTTTTTCTTATTTAATAATAAACCCAAAGCAGCTAATAAGCCTTATGTGGATTCTTAATACAAGTGAGATGGTTTTTCTGTTTTTATAAATAAAGTTTAGTAGGGCTTTCAAGAGATTTAATGGGAATATTTTGTGGAGGTTTCTGCAATTTGCAAATCAAATTCCAAAGATAATTCACATTCAAAACCTCTGAGATCTTTTTAATATTGTATCCGAACTTAATTAAAGTTCAATTATGTATTCAATCTGAACATAGTTAAAACTTAACTGACTTGTTCCTATAACAGCAAAACAAAGCACCTCTCAAAAGCTTCATCAATGACTTTAAAACTTATTCCAGTTAAAATAGCAAATAAAACAGTAGTGTACAAGTTATAAAATCAGTAATCAAACTGCAAACATGTCAAATAGTGCTGTTTTACAGAATTATAACTGAGACAGAACAGAGTGATCTGCCAAAGGTTAGTCCAAAAAGTACAAGGCTGTAAACTGAAATTAACAATTTAGTAAATGAATAATGATCATTTTGTGACAAAGACAAAATGAACCCATTTCACTGCAATCACTTTAATGGAAAGTTATTCATGGTGTGCTTGCATAAGAAAGCTGTCGTACTGATTTGCTAAACTATAGCCTGCTGAATAAGCCATGAATAATGTACTAACTAAACCGTAAACTATCATTCACAAACCTTCATGGTTGGGATGATACATGAGAAACCTTTATTATGGCTTCACACAATATATGACTTTTTAATCTTACATGTGCACATTGTTACACTGGAACTAACTTTCATAACATGAAATAAACATAGTTACTTTACCGAGAATAGGGGCAAGTATCAAGCGTACAGAAGTGTTGAATTTTGTAATGTTATAATAGGTCTTTTTTTAAACTTTTTTTTTTTTTTTTTACAAATGAAGTAATATTAAAATGAAGCAATTGGTGCACTTAAATATATTATCTGACCATACATCATTTATTGTTTCCAAACTTCTGCTTGCTGTAGCTCATGCCTGCACTCATGTCAATGCACAAGCTTTATGGACTGTTGCAGATAGGCCTGCCAGCACGCCTCAGAGGCTCCACTTATTAGAGGCCCTTGTACAGATTGCCAACTCTCAATTTCTCACCATGGCTGCATAGGTATAGTAGGTATCTGGGCTTCCAAAGTAACATTTGACTTGAATGCATAATCTTTGGAAGTAGTTGAAGAAGACGAGAGATGACTGTGCAGGTTGTGTTTGCATTTTTGGCCCAACCCTCCTCTTTTTTGACTCTTGACTCACAGGTTGCAAGCTCTGGTTTAGCGGCTTTGACGAACCAGGAACTCAGGTGAAGAAAAAAGAAGGAATTGAACTAGCAGGTGTGTTAGGGTGTATTAATTACCTTAGTTTTCTCAAGGTGCTTTTTGTATAAACTTCATTAACCAAAGGGGCTAGAATAAACAGGAATAGGGCTGTGCCGTCAGAGAAAGGAACACCTGGAAGTGTCATGACTTACCCATGTCTTTCTTTACAAGACAATTTTTTTTTTCTTAAAGGACCTTTTACTCTCTGTTGTTTCAGAATCAGTGAAGCAAGAGGTAACACTTCAGAGGTAAACTTCTGAGTGGTTTGTCCTTGGACTAGTGCAATGGATATTAGTATCCACTAGAGCTACTTTTCCCTCCTGGCATTTAAAGAAGGAAAGCAATAACAAAGATTTAAGATGTTCTGCACATTTTGTAGGCCTATTCTATCAAGTCAGGAAATATCTGGATGACCACAAGATGGAGCTGCATATTGATTTCTCCCTATTTCCTGCTGCCATCTTGTGGTCATCAAGATTTTTGCAGATCAGATTTAGTAGACCTACCCGTCTGGTACCCTCCAAACAGCACCATCTACAGGCTCCCCTGCTTTCATCAGCTTAAGGAAAGCAGTCTCCATTTGGTGCATGTGTGCAACACAGTGGTGAAATCGAAAATTTGTTACTACCGGTTCTGTGGGCGTGGCTTGGTGGGGGGGGGTTAATGTGACTGGGTGGGCATGGCCAATTTTTTTTTTTACTTTTAAAACCATTTTTTATATGTAAAACCATGTAAAAAATGCTTTCAAAAAGCTCTGATGATCCCAGCTGAGTTGCCTGATCGTCAGAGGGTTACCCTCTGACGATCAGGCAACTCAGCTGGGATCGTCAGAGGCATTTAAAAGGAAAAAAGCCTCTGATGATCACGTGGCTCAGCTGGGCATGGGGGGCAGGGGCATGGATTTTTGCTACCGGTTCTCTGAACTGCCCGCCGCCTTCGCTACCTACTCGCCCGAGCCGGTCCAAACCGGGAGCATTTCACCCCTGGTGCAACATCATGATTAAAAAAAAGCTGTGGCTTGTATCACAATACCCCAATGCCATTTTCTTCAGCCTGATTATCCTTGTCTCTCCAGAAGACCCCACTGCCTTCAGACATCTGAGATGGGCATGATGGTCTAACTCAACTAGAGATTGCCAGTGGAGAACACTGTAAATATGATTTCTTAATCATAATCTTCACTTACAGCGAAATTGAGGTGAGTCAATGGAATATGGAAATTTTTATGGTATTCTCATTGGTATACTTTGAATCATTGTGAAACATGAAGTAAAACATATATAAATGCATGACCATAATGCCTCAGCTGTTCTAAACCTCTTATCAGGGAAATATTGAACAAAAACATTATCTTCAAACATTTTAAAATGTTTATTTTGGCTTTTAAAATAGTATTTCCCTGTGGGGATGAGAACTTACTGTTCTCATTAAATTGCGATAAGCTCATTTCATCCTGGGTTCAGTGATAAAGTCTTCAAAAAGTCTCTCTCAGAACAGATTATAACATATACCAAAGATGTTTTATAAATTAATTGATCATGCATATCCTCTTGTACCTACGCCATAATGAGACCATGACTTAGAACAGAATCTGGTAACCTTTTTTCACACAAACACACATACACAGACCTACAGTAACATCTAGATACAGTAAGTTATTAGTTATCTTCAAAACTTTTATTATTTTCTATCTTGATTTCATACTTGTAATCATTCTTGCTATGGTGTGCATGGTAGGAAAATACAACTCTGACAATGAGGACTATTGCTCCCAAAAGAATCTCAGTTTTTGGAAAGTGTTGCTTGCAAACCTGAGTAAAATAGAGAGGTCACACAAGATCTGTTGCTAGGACAACTTGTGAATCATCAATAGCCTTGTACTCTGCTTCATCTAGCCTTGAGAATTTCTGGCTTCCAGTTCATGGAGAAACAAAGCTTTTTTAAAAATGCAAGCATATGTAGATACAGCCAACCAGGAGGTTGACATGTCTTTTGATTACTTTGCCCTCTACACATAAATTGTATTTCACAATACCTGACGTACTCAGTCCAATTGACTAATTTTAGTAACAGTTGATGTATTTTCATTCACTTCCTGTTACAAAATCAAGCTGATATCCTGAAAGTGGCTCTCTTTATGTCCTCCAGGCTTTTATGGTCTGCCTACAGCAGGCAAATTCTTATAATTAAGGTAATGACTTCTACTCATCATCTCATATTTGGAGATAGTTTGGTCACACTGCTAGCTGGCAATGTTGTTTATCTGGAATTCCCCCTTTAACAGGAATTCCTCCTACTGTCTTTTGTGAACTCTATCTGGCCACTAGCTGGTGTTTTAGGAAGATAAACAATCTGATGCATCCTGACAGGAATATATCTATTACAGTACATTTGACTGGCCAGTTTTACTTGCTAATGTCTCATCCACACAACATTCAAGCTTGTTGTTTGTTTAAGAAGTTTATTGGCTGTGTTTATGGGAACTGCTAAACCACCTAGATTCATGATAGCGAACCTATGGCATGCATGCCACAGGTGGCATGTGGAGCCATATCAGTGGGTATGTGAGCGTTGCCCTAACTCAGCTCCAGCATGCATGCACGCGCTGGCCAGTTGATTTTCGGGCCTTCTGGGCTCACCGGAAGTCAGGAAATGGGCCATTTCTGGCCTTTAGAGAATCTCCGGCGGGGGAAGACCATTTTCGCCCTCCCCAGGCTCCAAGAAAGCCTCTGGAGCCTGGGGAGGATGAAAAATGGGCCTACCGGGCCCACCGTGCCATCGCGTGCCAAAAGTGGGGGGAGCACAAGGGGGGGTTGCGCACGTATGCGCCCTGCTCCCATAATTCAAGTGGCATGTGAAACCCCGCATTCTCCCCACTTTTGGCACGTGACAGCAAAAAGGTTAGCCAGATTATATTGTAGCTTAGTGCAATGTGTGAATCGTTATAAAAAGTTGTGTGGGGTGAATGAAACTGTGTTACAGTGAACTCAACCTCATGTCTGTGGTAATGTGCTTTCTTCCAGTTCCTGGGATGGGAAGAAAGCATGTTGAAAGAGATACCACTGCTCTTAGCAACAAGATCAGTAGTTAAGGTTATTTTCAGGAAGCAACTAGTTCTCCAAAAAGCATTCCTCGAAGGGAAAATGATCTCCATACCAACCAACTCTGCTACCTGATTTTTTTAAAAAAAATACAAACAGTACATTACTATTCAGTAAGGATAATTTCTTTTCTGGGAATCAAAGGTCAAGCAAGCAGCTGGAATTTCACTGAAAAAAATTACATCTAGCTATACCTCCCAAAATTCTAAACAAGTGAGAAGCCTACAGAGAATATTATTTGCAAATTCAGATGAGTCCTGGGGGATAAAAATGAGTTCAGTATTGATGGAAACATCAACCTCCTGATAGACCAGTGGCTGGTCTTCCATCCCCTACCAAACTACAATGAGGGGGGGAGGGGGAGAGGTTGCACTTAGCCATAGCAAGACCAGCGATGGAGAGGCAGTACTGGAGATGCAGGGACAATGGGAGGAGCAATCCT